TCGGATCCCAGTCTACAGACGTCAGGGAGAGCGGTACGCTGACGTTGCTGTTGTGGAGCATGATCGATTTGGAGGTGGATCCGTGATCGTCTGGGGAGGTATCACCCTGACTGGAAGAACTGATTTACTGGTACAGGATGGAAATCTGACTGGCCAGAGATACAGGGACGAGATCATCATTCCTATTGTGCTTCCATTCTTAAGGGCCATGCCAGGTCACGCTGTTTTCAAAGATGATAATGCCAGGCCTCACAGAGCTCGCATCGTGTCAGCTTGTTTACAACAAAATGGGGTGAATCGAATGGATTAGCGAGCATTATCGCCCGATATAAACCCCACTGAGCATGTTTGGGATCTGCTGGGACGGTGTGTTTATGCCAGAGTTCCTCCCCCTGCTAACCTTCGCCAACTTCGCAATGCATTGTTCGAGGAGTGGCAAACATTCCCCAGCGGCAGATTGAACTGTTCTTTCGTGGTATGCAACGTCGATGCAATGTCTGTGTTAGAGCCAGGGGTGGTCATACCCGTTATTAAATTTTGCAATTTCAGTTTTGTATGGTACTAGCCAATACGGCATTCTGGTTCACTAATCATCAATGCACACGTCCTTGTGAACAAGGATATGAAGACCTAAATGAATGATTTTGTTATTTTTTATCGGTAGCTTTCACAAATACGATTTTCTTACGAGATATAGTGAGTGGTTTCAGTGAGTCTAAACTTTTGATGGGTAGTATATAATTAATATTAAATTTATCTCAAACATTCACTACTTGTCTGTCTAGCGAGGGGCTTTTACAGTCGCATTCTCCCTGAGGTGAGAGAGAGACCCGCACTTGACTCGACAAGACACTAATAGGTCTCAAGATTAAGTATTCGGCTGGATGGCAGCTGCCATTTAATTACAAAACAGACAGTCGTCTAGACGGCTCACATGTAAGTGCGCCGACATGTGCCTAAGATAAAAAAAATGGACAATCTTTGGTAACATCTAATTTATTGTTGTCTCACGCCAGAGCTGTGAATAATTCTGTTCATTGAACAATTGGAATTCAGGAAGTTATCAATAATTGTTTTACTTAACATAAGATAAGATAAGTTGTTTACAACATAATATTATGATGTCAGGACGTACTCAGTCAAAACCATATATTTTAAAATCAATTTAATGACAGACTATGATTTCCAAGTCCCGATTATCAAATCAATGTGGTAACAGTTTCACCACATGTGCACAGACCGCCTATACTTATATATATATTTTTCATAACTATTCTCCAGTTAAAGTCCTATCCTCTTATCAAAAAATCTGTGAGAGTGATCATCATTAACGAAGCTCATTCTCATCAAAGAATACAGAACAAATGAAGAATCAGATGCATACATTTATTGCCATGCTTCATTCATCACGAAGAAGATTTACATACATTTGTGAATAGCACTTAAACTGTGATAATGAATTTTACCATTGTCCATATTAACATAATAATATATACAAATATACAAAACAGGACATGCATTTAATAAATAATTACCATAATATGGATTTCCGAATATATAAACGACTTCAACGTTGATATTTCAGACCAGAACAAAGTCTCCTGTCTTTTAACTATCAGGGGAAAAGGGTTTGCTTTCACAATTTAACATTTGTTTTCACCAAAGGACAATCAAATCAAGCCAAAAACACGAAAAATACACACACATATATATATATATATATATATATATATATATATATATGGTTAGCGACCGTCATTATACAGCGAGGGGGGAAATTCGTCTGCTCTAACTGCCTTCACAAAAACATTCCAGCCCTTAATTACCGAGGCAGCTGTGAGGTAGTAGCATTACATTCGCTGCGTTTGCAGCATATAAGATGTGTAATCTGTGGAGTAACTAAAGTAATATTACGGCTGAAATCTTACTTGCATGGTTGTTTTAATAGAAAACTTACGTTTTAAAAACACAATTGTTCCTATATAATGTTTTTAGGTTTGATTTATAAATACTAGAGAGGATTTTTTATACATATAAAACTGATCGAAAATACAGATGAACAATAGAAAATCAAAATAGGAGTTGTGAATAGTGACAAAATTAAATTATATCACTCTGACAATAATTATTGATTGATTCCGTCAAACAACTGTCAAACCATTTATTGCCATGTACGTACATGGACACAGGAAGTCGGCGCTGTCTGAGGCTCCAGGTAAATAAACATCGTGGTTTTATGACGGGAGATCAGACGAACCGTGAACCAGGGGCATGCGACGTAATTACACCTAAAGGTGGTAGAACCAGGGTATATTGTCTCTTGGACTGGCTAATTGACCGTACATATAATTGGTAAATATATTCGTTTTGACACCCGTGTTTCATGCGCATCCCGTCTCATAAGCAGAATACAGACAAATGAGGGCCCGTGATCAGTGGAGCGTGAACAACATGGATGCCGCCTTTCGGCCGTGCCGAACAGTCAAGCTGCGATCTCGGAACTGCTCGCCCGATTGAATCCAATTGCAAGCGGAGACAAGATTTACTTCCCTTACCCAAACATGATCGTTGCTCAGAAATGTTCAAATCTATCTTCAGTAAATCATGAAATTAATGCGAGCATGACATTTATGCGAAAAATGCGATCGACTGCCTCCGTGGTCCAGTGGTAGAAGGTCCGCCCGGAGAGAGGAAGGTCGGTGGTTCGATCCCCGGCCTCGTCATACCAGAATACGTTAAAAGCTGGTACTTGTTGTTACCCTGCCTGACGCTCGGCATTAAGGGGCTAAAATAAAGACTGGTCCGCTCAGAGTACACTGTTTTTGAGTGGGGTATTCATGATGTGGCATGGTATCTCAGTCGACTGGCACTCTAAAATCTCCGGACTATACAAGCAGCCACACACACACATGCACGTGCGGCATGCAGGTCGCCATATAAGAGCAATAATCTTGAACGCCACGTTAACCCTCACCTCACCTTTCGCCATGGTAGAATAGTTTTGTTTTATTTTGTTTGTTGAATTATCAACAAATAATTAGAGCTACACTGTAAACACCAACCTGGAGATATACAAAACCACTACTGAAGCGCATATCTGATCAAGAGGACAAATCCGCTAATATTTCCTTCTTAAACAAAGCCCGTTACAGGCATTCGAATCGTTATATTACACCGGAGACCATAAAATATAGTCTATTCTATTCTCTGATTATACTATGTGTAGTTTAAATGTCGGAGGGTGTTGAATAATATTTTTTGTTTGATTGTCGTTGAACGCCACACTCAGCAATATTCCGGCTATATAACGGTGGTCTGTAAATAATCAAGTCTGGACCACACAATGCAGTGATTGACACCATGAGCGTCGATTGGGATATGTATCAAGTCAGTGAGTCTGACCACCCAATCCCGTTAGTCGCCGATTATGACAAGCATGGGTTGCTTGGAACGTATTCCAACCCGGATCTTCACAGGTATTTTCTTTAAATAATAAGGTATTAAATTTAGTATAAGTAAGTATAGTTGTTGTATATATTTAAATATGTTTGTCATGAACCCAACCTTGTTTAAATTATATGGGAAGATGAGCGGTAACAATTTATGTCATTATTTCAAATCAGAATGATAGCACAGTAGGAAAGAAAGCATAGCATAATACGCGTATCTTGTTAACCCAACAGTTTTTAAATAAGAGCAACAGATACATCAAGAGTATAGGTTTGGTGCGTGTCTTATCATGTTCTGTTTATCGCGGGCTCCTGTAACTGGCACTAAATGTCACACCACGATTAATACTGGTAAATACGATCTACTCTAGAACTAGAATAGATTACTTTGGGTAAGGGGAAAATGTCTGTAATTATCATAACTTTGGAGTTCGACAAGCGTCGTGGTCGGGGGTTGTTTGGTCGTGTTCAAGGGATTCAGGGCCTGGGTGCATGGGGCTTTCCAAAGTTTTTGTGTTGGTCGTGTAGACGGCATTTCCAGATTTGACATATCAGTGACGAAAATGATGGCGAGCGCCCAGTATCATCATTGTTTGATAGTGAATCATGACACGCGCTCCTGATGTGGTAGGAATCGTGCAGTCGACGTTTGGCTGGGCTCTTGTCGCTTTTGTTAACTGATAAACATGAGAGATAAAATCAGTGTCTAGTCATGTAACATCAAATATATGTCAATTTCTCATTGCCGTATCATGACCAGTCCGTGTCCAACCAATCGTGTAGCTATAACATATCACAAATATCATGGACTTCGACGTACAAAAGAGTCGTGACATATGATTATCATTTGTTATGCACTTTTTCTGGTAGATACATCTATTATATGCTTACTTTTCAGAATAGGGACTTGGCATTCATTATCACTTTGTCAAGTCTCTGCAAAACAATACAAATTTAATAATACAGACTCAACTTACATGTGTTTAGTTGTAATATCCCTAAGTTACCGAGTGCGGCATTAAACAACAAACAAACAAAACATAATATCCTCAAGAATTAAGAATAATGTTAATAATGCCCAAATCTCCTTAATCTCCATACCTCTCTCTGTTTCATGTGGGGGCGGTCTGGTAGCCTAGTGGTTAAAGCGTTCGCTCGTCACGTTGAAGACGCGGGGTCGATACCCGACATGGGTACAATGTGTGAAGCCGTGATATTGGTGGAATATTGCTAAAAGCTGCGTAAAACCATACTCACTCATTCACTCACTGTTAAATGTGAAACATAAAATAAGTTGTGTTTGTAATCATCTGAAGGAATAACAATGACAATAATATCCTAATTATTTCAAGATATAATACTAATCCTTAACTAAAGACGTCCACTACAGTGTACACTCGGTGAAGAAGCCTTTGAACATATGAACTTTTCACATACACTAATGGAAGTTAAGTTTGTGAAGATAGCAAATGATATTATTCGGTCGAACGTCAGCCAGAACTCCTTTATGGAATTCTGAGTCTACAGTGTGGGTGCTATGTACATGGCTACTCTAATAAAGTTCCTGACGTATTTTAGGCCAGGGGTGGACACTCGCATTAATGTGGTGACTCATCATTGCATTAATTTCACGATTTACAGTATTCATGAAGAATATTTTGTATGGGACCAGACGCATGGTGGAATAGAGAAAATTATGAGGATAGACTTACTAAGTATTTTATGATATTCATGCCAGCTCAAAATAAACTTTGATTTATTTTTATGGTATCCACAAGATAAGCAGGATTAAACTAACATCTTAAGATGACATTAAACTGAATTATATTTGCTGTTTACATATCAAAGTTTCCGAAAATGTTACAAATTGTTTAGCCACAGCAAGGCTATTCATTCGTGACATGTTTCATCTGATCTGCTGATTTATTTTCAACACTGTCAAATCTCCTTCCTTGTTTCGAGAGAAGTACTGCGCAGTAAGAGTTGTGAATAATCACTCGACCTCCGGACATGGCACATCGAAACTTGGAGGTCAGGGATCACACCTCCCCTTTCTCCCAGGGAGGGGTGGGGATGTATTCGGGATCTGTTAGTCATCAACCTCGTGTGTGTCAAGAGTTAAGTGCGGAAGATTCAATGTTTAACAACAGCGACGCAGATGGTACTGAATGCAACGGGAACAAATCATTGAAACGTTGCCAGAAAACGACCAAAGGGAAGTCTCACCCCTGCTCGTCCATTGTGTTATAAATCCAGGGTGTCGAGGTGAGTTCTGTGTCTTGTATGTTTGTTGCATGTATTCATGTAGCGGGATGTTTGTTGTGTATTATTGTGAAATATTAAAAATTGAATTTTTGACAACTGTGACACATACATTCCTGAATATTGACGGAACTTCCGTTGAAACAATATCTCATTTCGCGTCTTCAATACACCGGGAATAACGGAAAATCGCTTCATTGTCTTGTAGATTAATGCACTGTAAACGACGACTGATGGCTGGACACTATTATATTTGAACATAAATATCACTTAGATTGGCCTGATCCAGTTTCTATCAACAGATCGTCGCCATATAGCTTGAATATTGCAGGTTGTGGTTTAAAATAACATTCAATCACTCACGTATTTCACATATTCAATGCAAGAGGCTACTACGCGGGTGGTGGGTAGAGAGGGAGAGGTAGGGTGGTGGTTGTTGTTGCGAGACTTGGTTGTGTAACTGGAGGGAGGGTGGGGGGAGAAGGGTAGTGGTGGTTGTTGCGAGACTTGGTTGTGTAGCTGGAGGGAGGGTGGGGGGAGAGGTAGGGTGGTGGTGGTTGTTGCGAGACTTGGTTATGTAGCTGGAGGGAGGGTGGGGGGAGAGGTAGGGTGGTGGCGGTTGTTGCGAGACTTGGTTATGTAGCTGGAGGGAGGGTAGGGGGAGAGGTAGGGTGGTGGTGGTTGTTGCGAGACTTGGTTATGTAGCTGGAGGGAGGGTAGGGGGAGAGGTAGGGTGGTGGCGGTTGTTGCGAGACTTGGTTGTGTAGCTGAAGGGAGGGTGTGGGGAGAGGTAGGTTGGTGGTGGTTGTTGCGAGACTTGGTTATGTAGCTGGAGGGAGGGTAGGGGGAGAGGTAGGGTGGTGGCGGTTGTTGCGAGACTTGGTTATGTAGCTGGAGGGAGGGTAGGGGGAGAGGTAGGGTGGTGGTGGTTGTTGCGAGACTTGGTTATGTAGCTGGAGGGAGGGTAGGGGGAGAGGTAGGGTGGTGGTGGTTGTTGCGAGACTTGGTTATGTAGCTGGAGGGAGGGTAGGGGGAGAGGTAGGGTGGTGGTGGTTGTTGCGAGACTTGGTTATGTAGCTGGAGGGAGGGTAGGGGGAGAGGTAGGGTGGTGGCGGTTGTTGCGAGACTTGGTTGTGTAGCTGAAGGGAGGGTGTGGGGAGAGGTAGGTTGGTGGTGGTTGTTGCGAGACTTGGTTATGTAGCTGGAGGGAGGGTAGGGGGAGAGGTAGGGTGGTGGCGGTTGTTGCGAGACTTGGTTATGTAGCTGGAGGGAGGGTAGGGGGAGAGGTAGGGTGGTGGTGGTTGTTGCGAGACTTGGTTATGTAGCTGGAGGGAGGGTAGGGGGAGAGGTAGGGTGGTGGCGGTTGTTGCGCGACTTGGTTGTGTAGCTGAAGGGAGGGTGTGGGGAGAGGTAGGGTGGTGGCGGTTGTTGCGCGACTTGGTTGTGTAGCTGAAGGGAGGGTGTGGGGAGAGGTAGGGTGGTGGTGGTTGTTGCGAGACTTGGTTGTGTAGCTGAAGGGAGGGTGTGGGGAGAGGTAGGGTGGTGGTGGTTGTTGCGAGACTTGGTTGTGTAGCTGAAGGGAGGGTAGGGGGAGAGGTAGGGTGGTGGCGGTTGTTGCGAGACTTGGTTGTGTAGCTGAAGGGAGGGTGTGGGGAGAGGTAGGGTGGTGGCGGTTGTTGCGCGACTTGGTTATGTAGCTGGAGGGAGGGTAGGGGGAGAGGTAGGGTGGTGGTGGGTGTTGCGAGACTTGGTTATGTAGCTGGAGGGAGGGTAGGGGGAGAGGTAGGGTGGTGGTGGTTGTTGCGAGACTTGGTTATGTAGCTGGAGGGAGGGTAGGGGGAGAGGTAGGGTGGTGGTGGTTGTTGCGAGACTTGGTTATGTAGCTGGAGGGAGGGTAGGGGGAGAGGTAGGGTGGTGGCGGTTGTTGCGAGACTTGGTTATGTAGCTGGAGGGAGGGTAGGGGGAGAGGTAGGGTGGTGGTGGTTGTTGCGAGACTTGGTTATGTAGCTGGAGGGAGGGTAGGGGGAGAGGTAGGGTGGTGGCGGTTGTTGCGCGACTTGGTTGTGTAGCTGAAGGGAGGGTGTGGGGAGAGGTAGGGTGGTGGTGGTTGTTGCGAGACTTGGTTGTGTAGCTGAAGGGAGGGTGTGGGGAGAGGTAGGGTGGTGGCGGTTGTTGCGAGACTTGGTTGTGTAGCTGAAGGGAGGGTGTGGGGAGAGGTAGGGTGGTGGCGGTTGTTGCGCGACTTGGTTGTGTAGCTGAAGGGAGGGTGTGGGGAGAGGTAGGGTGGTGGTGGTTGTTGCGAGACTTGGTTGTGTAGCTGAAGGGAGGGTGTGGGGAGAGGTAGGGTGGTGGTGGTTGTTGCGAGACTTGGTTGTGTAGCTGAAGGGAGGGTGTGGGGAGAGGTAGGGTGGTGGCGGTTGTTGCGCGACTTGGTTGTGTAGCTGAAGGGAGGGTGTGGGGAGAGGTAGGTTGGTGGCGGTTGTTGCGAGACTTGGTTATGTAGCTGAAGGGAGGGTGGGGGGAGAGGTAGGGTGGTGGTGGTTGTTGCGAGACTTGGTTGTGTAGCTGGAGGGAGGGTGGGGGGAGAGGTATTGTTGTGGTGGTTGTTGCGAGACTTGGTTGTGTAGCTGGAGGGAGGGTTTTGGGAGAGGTAGGTTGGTGGTGGTTGTTGAGAGACTTGGTTATGAGCCGGACGGAGGGTGGTGCGAGAAGGGGAGAGGTAGGGTGGTGGTGGTTGTTGCGAGACTTGGTTGTGTAGATTGAGAGAGGGTAGGGGGAGAAGTGGACAGGTAGGGTGTTGGTGGTTGTTGCGAAACTTGGTTGTGTAGGTGGAGGGAGGATGGGGGGAGAAGGGGAGAGGTAGGGTGGTGGTGGTTGTTGCGAGATTTGGTTGTGTAGCCGGAGGGAGGGTGGGGGGAGAAAGGGAGAGGTAGGGTGGTGGTGGTTGTTGCGAGATTTGGTTGTGTAGCTGGAGGGAGGGTGGGGGGAGAAAGGGAGAGGTAGGGTGGTGGTGGTTGTTGCGAGACGTGGTTATGTAGCCGGAGGGAGGGTTGGGGAAGAGGTAGGGTGGTGGTGGTTGTTGCGAGACATGGTTGTGTAGCTGAAGGTTTGTTTCCGGTTACATCAGCTTGTATGTGGAAATGGACTAATCTGACTCTTAGTAAAACAACTGATGCATTCTGTTTGGAAGGACATATGAGTGTTGACAGAAAAGTTTTGAGGTGAGGTGATGTGAAATAGGGTTAAATGTCGCGTTAAATTATCGCGTGTTTGTGTGTGTGGCTGTTCGTACAAGTCCTTATATTTCATAATGCTAACCCACCTATATACCATGCCACAGTTGAACATCAATACCTAACTCAGACACAGTATACTGACTCTGAGACGACCTGTCTTTGTTTTAGCCCCAAAGAGTAAGGCAGGGTAACAACAAGTACTATCTTATAATAACGTCTTTTTGTATGACGCGTCCGGGGATCGAACCCCGTCCCATCCGCTCTCCGGGCGGAAGCTCTACCAATAGACCACGGCAGCGATTAGAAACGTTTGGAGCCTCACAAGGAATTCAATAATGTTTTGCTGCTGACATCACATAACGACCAAGTTGCGTATCCTTGTCAATGAAGTGAATTGTTTGATGGTAATTTTATGGACGTTAAACGACTATTAAGTAGACTCTTTAAAAGGTGAGGTGAAATAGGGTTTGCTTGCACGTCCAATATTATTGCACTTATATTGCGACGTGCTTGCACGTGTGTGTGTGTGTGGCTGCTTGTACTAGTTCGGACTGATGTCGCTTTATAGTGCTATCCCACTGAGATACCATGCCGCAGTTTAACATGAATACCCCACTCAGACACAATATACTCCAAGCCGACCAGTCCTTGTTTTAGCCCCTTAATGCCGAGCGCCAGACAGAGTAACAACAAGTACCATCTTTTAACGTAGTTTGATTTGACACGGCTGGGAATCCCCGAACCGTCCGCTCTCCGGGCGAACGCTCTACCACAAGACCACGGAGGCGGTCCCAATTAAAAAAGATAATTGTTGTGAATAGTATACTCAACAACAAAAGTTCCTGTCACACCACTATATCAGTGTATTTTTCAAACAAGTAAAGTTTGGTTTTCAATATTGTAGTACATGTATGGAATCAAGTCACAAAATCGCAACTGCTACAGAAAAGTATGCATTCCATGCAAAAGTTGACTTTTATGCAAGCCCCATGCATTTCACTACCCAAGAATGGGTATAAAAACATGTGCGTGAACGGGATTCCATATGCATTGTTTAGCATCGTGCTGACAACCACTCAGAAAAACAACAAAATTAAGCAATTATTCAACATTGCGTAATGTCACGCCTGTCCGAAAATGAGCGTCTTCGAGCAATTGGAATTCTTGAAGCAGGATCAAGTCAACGCGATGTTGCAAGACACCTTAATCTTCACGGGTCTCAATAGTACGGATAATCTCTGTTATTTTTGTTGATATTTCAAACGTAGAACATGGGATAGCATGCGTTATTAACATCGCCTTGATCTCACTTTAAGTGGTGAACCACCCACAACACATTTCAATCACACTTACAAACAAGGTACATACAGATGAAGACTAAGTTATTGTGTGCGCTACAAGCTACTGATGATTTGTCAATGGTCTTGAATGTTGATCATAGTCCCATTGGAATACGCAATAAAAACACATTACCCTCTGCGTTCAACATTGGTAAAAGTCATTCGTTGCTGATATGAATGTATTGCTTATTCAGTGGTGAAGTACAAAATTAAAGAGAAATGAATTTCCCTCATATGTACATTAACTGTTTGTGTACATCAATCATTTTTGGGTCATGTTAGGCTTTCAGGGATGATATTTTCACCGAAAGTTGTACTATTCAACCATAACAAATACTGTGCAAATCACAGTAAAGCTCTTATGGTCGTTGTTTACGCTTTGAAATGGTCAACTATTGCCCACTGTTGAATTTCGCTTTTCTCTGTATAAAGAACTCACTGCATACATTGTCCATGTATAGGTTAATTACTGTAATTGGTTATTTGATATTCAGTTGCGTGATATGTCACAGAGGTAAATCTAATTCATAACAACTAATTGTCCCATTTATTTCGCTTCTATCTTTTATATGAAACAAATGCTATAACATGGGGTGATAAACTTCATTGGCAATAGACGTAGCATATAATTGTCCGCATGAACAGTCTACTCGGTTCCAGATATGTTTATTCATTTTGTCAGCATTTAAATCGTTTCATTCCTGGCTCAATGATTCATTTGACGAAATCTTGTTCCCTGTTTTGAATTACCGTCAGATAGTTTCAGACCAATTATAAAATTTCAAGCCCTATGTGTTGCGCATAATTCCGAGATAATTCGAAGTTATACATTCTTGTACGAACACTTATCAAAATTCATTTATACCTAGTACTATTATGTACATATGTATATTAATTCACGTTATAATAATGACTCCCTCTATTCTCGAAACGGTCTTTCTTCTACGACGACCGTAAGTCGGTATGGGAAAACAAAATATTTGTTTAATTGTTCAAAGTTCATAGTCAATGTCATATGATTATAGACAAGGAAGATAAGAAATTAAATATAAAGAGTAGCCACTTTAAATGACAGAAATTCTTTTAGTTAAATTTGCTCATGATTTGGTCTTTTCGTGGTAAATAGCGCCAAAATATTCTTAATTATTTACTTTCATGTCATCACTAATCTCACATAAGGTCAGAAGTTGTACAACGTTTAACAGATATGATTATGACATGTTGTATCCAAACAAATCCAAACAAATCCAAACAAATCCAAGCTTTGAAATATGACCTTGACAAATTTTGGAACGGTCATATTTCCATTTGGAATGGTGGTATTTCCAAGTTTTGGATTGTTTGGAATGGATGATATTTTGTCCAGTGGTGTATCGCTGGACGTCGTGGCAGGATGGTGTGCTCCCTCAACCGGTTGCTGACGGTTCTCCCACTAATTGGTCTCAACCAAGGAATCATGTGAGTTGTTATTATGTCAGTTTGGTTTCGATTTTCCGTCGACGCACCAACCGAATATGGCTGTCTTGTTGACGTCACACGTGGACGACCGGCACGTGTCATGAGTGGTGCCCTGCTCCGGATAACGTCGCCAAAGAGATGATATTGTGTTTCGATGGTTTTTTAATGTCTTGCTTCGTTTTGCGCCATTCCTGTTTGTAACCTACCAACAGCGAATATACGTTGATTTTCAGCAAGTCTTGGCATCACGTAGGCGTTATTAACGGTTAAATAGAAATGTTTTTATGAACACCTGAAAGCTAAACAATCATCGTGTGTTGTTCACGTTAACAACACACGTGTATGAATATCATGCTCCCAACAAACATCCAAATAGTGAGGAGTGCATAAACATGCACCCTCAAATCGTTAATCAAGACCTTAAAGTCGAGGAGATGTCATCATGAACATGTGTTGTAGGATGCATTATCTTATTATAGATAAATTATTTTGTAAAAGTTACTTTATACGATGCACAGTTACTTTTTTTCCGTTAGTACATCAACGTTAATTCGTCTACTGTGATTTCGTACAGGTGGAGCAACGAAGTTATATATACTATTCATACCATCGTTATTATTATGTATCGTATTGTCACTGTTTAGTTGGTTTTATTCAGTTGCAGATGTAACGGCTTTGACTGCTTCAGTAGCTCAAGGAAGGTCCTGAAGTCCACGTTTTCCGCATTTAATGTAAAATGAGAACAGATGGCGGCGGGCAAGTTTACACATTGTACGTTTTATTCTCATAAATTAGCAACAGCAGCAAGAAGGCTAGTAAGCAGCAGCTTTACTGTCCTGCCTGGTAGACTGCATTCGGCAGCCGTGGAGAGCAGGGTATCGTATTTCTGATTCAACGCCAAGACCACGTGACATTGCTCACTTCCGCCTTGCTGAGCGTCATGCTCGCCTTTCTGAGACAACAAGGAGGTGAGGCAAAGTGTCAGGGATATAGTGTTAATGTTGATGCTCCATGACTAACAAAATCTTGACCTTAGGTTTTGACCAGTGGAAAGCAAGATTTGTTTATGTAGTTACATGTCATGTCACTTTTTATTGTATTGTGTAAACAAACATAAAATGCCTCTGAAAATCATTGTTATCTTTCTCCTGCATTGTGTATATCAATTGTTATTTACTTTGCATCAATGACCAAGATTCTTTATCAAAGTATAGAAAAACTTCCTAAAGCATAGAAAATATACTATTGCAGAGATTCATGAATTTTACTGTCAACTGTAGGCCTAATTAGTAAAAAATTACTAACTGGTCAGAAACGTCAAGAAACATGTGAGTGTCTGAGTGGACAGTGAAGTTCAGTAAGTTAATAAACTAAACTTACTATTTCTGTCAGTGCAGTAACCATTTCTATGACGGCGACATAAAAAGACAGCTTTTCCAACTGAATGCACGTTAAACAAGTCTAATTTACCTTTCTTTCATAACTGAATCTTTAGCTTACATAGTCAAGTAAATATAGTTTGTAGAATATCTCGTCTTAGTCTTTTAAAAAATCGATCACACCTTCTTTGCAAATACAAGTTAGCTGTATCATAAGACTTTCTAACGATGTGTCAAGATTGTCATATTTTGTAATGTCCAAACACGTTTGCGTGACGAGCGAACGCTTTAACCACTAGGCTACCCCACCACCCCTACTTCAAAGAGAAAACTAGTATATGGATATAGAAGGCGAATCGCAGCAAACGGCATATAATGGACAGTGCGAAGCAATCGTATTTCTGACAACATCAACTCAATATATGTCCACACACAGTCTTGACTGTGATTAGTATTCCATCAGTTGTCATCTCCCCCACAGCACCAAGAGTAAATACAGCAACACAGTGGGATGCCAATGACACAGAAGACGACCCACATGGGAACACTGAATCCAACAGCGTGAGTGTACAACAGGGAGTCTTTGCAGGTGGACACGTAGATCCACACTGTGCCTGAACATAAAAAAACGTCTGATCATCACCATGCAATGAAAACGAATATATGTCTAAAACGTGTTTTCTTTACTTTTACACAGCATAATCTCTACACTTGTACAAAGCGTTTTCAGTTTAAACAAAATCAGTAAATGCCCCATCGTGTGACTACACTTTCTGTCCATCACTTGATTGTCTGGTTTGTTTACATTCCGTCATCGCATTGCTGGAGGACTGCTGTGCGGTGTCAGGTCACAGACAATTTTTTACATTCAAGTTGTGTGTGTGGCGGATTCTCTCGGAAGACCAAGATATCCTAACCATCTCGTGAACACCTGGTGTCATCACTGATGTTCTGTTATCCACACATAATGTTCATCTCTAGTTTGCCTTCTACGCCCAATGAAGTCGGTTTCGTGGGATAACCGAGACTGGTTTTTCTCTGAAGTTGACGTTTAACAATTTCTTCTTTAGCTTGATCTGGGTTATTAGACTTAACTGTGTGTACAAGAACATTGCTACTGTAACGCCATCTTCTATTTCCGAGTTAAGATATTTTCTGTATTTATTGTATCGTATTACCTGTTGTATCAACCTAACGTCTAAATCAACTTGACCATCAACCTGCTATATTTTCAAAGAAAGGGACAAAGTATAACATGCTTTGTTAATGTCAACTATGTTTTCCATTACCTGTTATTCCCCATCCAATGTTGAATAAAAAAATGATGCAACAGCAGGCCAGCAGGAGTGTCGCCGATACACACTGGCAGCAGTACCACAGGGAACACAGGATGGGGATGGCGACAGAGGTGGCGCCCTGTGTCACCATGTAGATGCCAAGTCTAGTGTCCCCAGGACACAGGTTGTAGTCAAGGATACCTGGTACATAACACGTGTAGTCAAGGACAACTGGTACGTAATACAGTAAGTGTTTAATTAATATTTGCAATAATTAATTTTAATATTCCGTTTATTTTGTTTCCTCAGTTACAATGAATACGAACAAGAGTGCCATGTGATTTTCAGATCAACTTCTCATGGTGGGTGTAAATGACATTAATTCTCTATGTAAGGACACGTAAAAGGTTACTAATAATTAGTGTCTCTCAATGACTTGGATAGTTTGGCAAAATCACGATGCCAGCTTACCAACAACGATCATGGCAACCGGAAGAGATCCAAATATGAGAGAACAAACCCAGATACAAATCTTCTCTGTAAATACAAAATTAGACTTGCTTACCACCATGTATTTGTGATTGTACTTGAATGTGTCCTTTTAGTGTATTTGGGAATTGAGTTGGAAATGATGTTCTTTGGAACATTAACGTTACACCTCTGATATGTTAAAAAAACATGATCATGTGCCATCTTTCCTGCGACAGTTGGTCGGTTGAGTACAAATACGGTTACTGTAATATATACTTTCTCTCTAAACCTCCTTCCAAACATAGTACCTCCTTTAACCATTCAGCTACGCCTACATTGTTTTTTTAACACTCAGCAATATTCCAGCTACATAGCGGCAGTCTGTAAATAATCGTGTCTGGACCAGACAACCCAGTAACTGACTTCTTGAACATCAGTCAATGCAATTGGGATACAATAACACGCAACCTCCAGGGTCACTAAGCTGACCACCAATCCATTTAGTCGCCTTTTACGACATGTATGGGTTGCCTCCGATTGTTGCAAACAGGTTAAACGCAAAACCCAAATTCCAGTATTGTAGTAACATTACCAGCTGCATTTACGTTTGAAACAGTGTCTCACCATGTCCCAGTCGTATTCATTATATAGAATCAAATGTCACCCATTACTTGACAAGGAGATTTCATCGCCGTCATCCTCTGTGTAGCTGGTGGATGCTGCTGTTTCGCCTGTGTACAGAGTATATACTTGTTCTAAGTTACTGAGATTCATCCTCAGAATAGATATAACAACCAAGTAAATGCAAAAAGCTCTGAAATAAATAAGACAATCATTGGCATTCTTTCTCTGAGGCAATTTAACGTGAAGTACTTGACATATTCTGTTTCTGTGGATGTCTTCAGATACGGCGTTCAGCCAAAGGCACCCCCTCAGATCTGATGAAACAATGTTTAACCTTACACATCCTTACAGAATAACAGAATACTCACCGTGTCCCGTTATGGCAAATACACTTGAGACTTGCCCAACAACTTGGCGGGTCCGTGCACCTATAAAGGAAGTAGTAGTAGCATGTGAGACACAGACAGGCGAAGCAGGGATTGTAAATTCCTTGTCAGCTGTAATTTCCGGCTGTGGCAAGTAGGAAGCACACCCAGCCCTTAGTTAGCTCACCTGACGTGTTATTTCGTGAACGTTAAGTAAACACTGAGTAAACGTTAGTTTCATATATCTAATCTGTGTTTTTGTGCAATGTTTTGCAAGTTATTTTTGCATATGCGTGTAAATATACGTACGTGGGTATAGTTGTCATGTGAACACGTATACTCGTGTGTATTTTTACACCAGGAGCGAATCTTCACTGTGTCTGGAGCAGGTCACATTTGCACTGTATGGATTTGTTGTCAAATGAACTTTTATGCCAACCTCAGGGGATGAGGTAATTAATTTATCTGTTCGGTTTGCCAACACCAAACAAACTGGCAACAGTTCTGTATTCAGAACACTATTATTATACCTTATCAACACACCTTGGTAACATTTCATGTGAACGCATGTCAACATTTGTGCAAAAAAAACATACGTGAGTAAATGTTGTGCATGTTAAAGGGGTATTAGTCAGCTTTGTCAATCAATTATAAAGCAGCACCTGCATTTTATAACTTTTTAGATACAATCGAGCATGCTCTCTCTCCAAAGACTTCAAAGAGCAGGCATGTCAGTAGTTGATAATGTGACAGGGTCTTAGGCCATCTGGGCTACGATTACAGGCAGCCATATCATGCAACCTGACCACCACGAAGCCGGCTGCAAGTTAAGGCAAGTAGAAGCCTTGATAAGTACTTACATAATTATCACAAACCACATGTTTTGTGTCTCTACAAATGAAACATGTTTCGTTTTGATATAAAATATGCTGCTGTGAACTTCAAGCCTTATCTTCAGCAATAATTGGTACATGTAGTCATGCACATACTTTCCTCGATGTATTGAAAGTATTGAAGGTTTATTGGTTTATATATCTTTAAGGATAGTTCAATGCCTCTCATCCAGTCAGTAAAACAAAATCATATGTAAAGGTTGCATGTGATATTAACACAACTGACATATAAAAAAGAAAAGGAAAACGAAAAGGAAGAATTTCGTTCCTTAGGTGAGGCGAGGCCTGACGAGCCTAACCGTAACATGGGGCAGGTGTAAACTGAGAAGAGGAAGATAATAGCAGCAGGCAAGAAAAAAATTGGCTCGTTGCCAACAGCTTGTTGTTAAAATCTATAGCACTCGACTGTATTACTTGCAAATGTGTAAACCTTTCACAAGCCCATTTGTTTCAAGGCTGCATATTCACACACTGCCGGATTTAGAAGATAAGTAGACTCTTATGCACTCCCCACCCCATCCCGTCTTCACAGAATACATCTGTCATGCATTACACGAAAATATAATGGCCCTTCATTCTTATTAAACTGTGACCTAACTAAGACTGTTAAAGCTGGGGTGGCACTGGGGACCTAGTCAGCCTTGGCTGGTTGCACTTCTAGGTTCTGACAACCAAAAAACCCTGGTCCTGCAGTCAGGGACAATACGAAATTGCCAAGATGAATGAGTATGGATGGCTTCTCACCAGTACCTTTGCAGCACCAATTCCTTATTCCAGACTAAGACTCAGCAAAAGGTGTCCCGGAGACACCCCTGTCCAAGCGCTGGCACCAGCTGGACCTGATCATCACAAGACAGCGCCACCTCAGTAACATGCACAATTTGTACATCGGTGCCATCAGACACAGACCATTCCTTGGTCTACTGCAGAATTAGCTTCCAGCCAAAGAAGCCCAACACTAAGTTGTTGGGAAAGACCCGTATCGACCTCACATCCAAATGTTCTGTATGATTATCTGGTTACAGTATCTCCCCATGGAGCAGGGGGAAAAAACGTTTTGGGTCAAAGACGACTGCTGCGAGCTCTTCCCTGTCATGGAGGAAAGGGGCACTAATAGAATTCAAATGCTTACCCTGAAATCTCTCAGAACAGTCGAAACAAATTACAGAAAATAGCAATAATATGCGCAAAAAAATTACTTGCTGTATGTCTGCAAGGGCATTCAATTATCAACTGATGATAGATAAGATAAGACGAACATGATGGACCACCGGTCTGTCACGGAGCATTTGCCCTTCAGTGTGTGTGTGTGTGAGTTATCAACAAGACAGGTATAACCACTGTGCTCTTATACATGTCCTCATTATCTCACAGGTACAAAGTCATAGTCTGGCAAAATCTTCATGGGTTTGTTTCATTACGAGACAAGGGCGGAATTGTTTCATGAAAACTGTGAACAGCGTAAACTTCTGATATAACCTTTGAACGTAACACTAAGATACCGTTCAACTAGACATCTGAACTGAGAGTTTAAGTATTACTCAAGATATATACTCACGAATCACCCTCAGAGAGAAATTCCCCTGGTCATCTGAAACGAATTAAAACTGTTTCATCAATCACGTCATTCTTACACCTTAGATGTAAAGCGAAAAGCTATTCAAGCAATGTGACACAAAAGGAACCTTGTGATCAAATGAAGGAAGTGACCCTGTACACAGAAATGTGACAACAAATAACACCCGTTCCAGGATAACAGTAGAGGCATATTACAGCTTAGTCTCACCTAGCTCGGCGGCAGTCAGGGTAACTTCTCTGGACACACTCACTTGTCCATCAGAGGAGACGTGGACTCCACTTTGACCCTCTGTGCAGAAACAAAACAATGTTACATAGCTTGGATATAGTACTAGGGATCTGTTGTTTCCATGGCATGTTGCAGGTAATGTTTTAACATTTTCGTCTTCTGTCACATGACCTATATGTCTGAATACACATTTACTGAGGTCGAAAACATGGAAATTTAGTGCTATTATATATTACATCTACCCATCACAGACATCACAACATCTACGAGAGCTGTTTGATAAGTTCTCACGTAGAAGAAATTGTGTATCAGTGAAATATTTTGTTGTGGACATGACATGTTGTCCACAAAACTGTGAGTCAATGAAGTAAACGGTTTTGCTGCAAAGAGTCAGTAAAATAAACAGTGGTATATTACATTTGGAAAATGGACAAACTTGAGGAACGTGCATTAATCAAGTACTTGCAAAAAAAGGGCATGACACCAAAAGCCATCCATGTTCCAGGCACAACATGACATGGATAATCAGTGTTTTCACCATAAACGTAAAAATGAAGGGGTGATTGCCCATTCTCAGTTCCAGGGAGGGGGATTTCCATTCAACCTGTATGGAAGTCACAGCTATCATCCCAGATGTGTTTTTCCACACCTTCATGTCAACACTTAAATAATCGCCACGCCTTCTTGCCCTTCCATTGTCCAACAGCCCTTTGGAAATCAAAGTTATCATATGTGACACCCTGAATTTGGATAAGCATGAGTGTATTCACAGTCTGGGAAGTGAGTCCGTTTCTGACAGATGTGTGGATAGCGTTCTGAATTGATCATTCCTGCTCCCAGTCACCATGAAGGGGCATAAGCATAGCAAGCTTTGCCAACTTCAATATGTTTGGAAACTGATCCTTGTGAATGTAATTCATAATTCTCCAGAGTTCATGTGTATTATCTCCAGGATACGTCTGTTCCAAAATAACATCTTGTGCCAAACCAAAAATTTTGTCAAACATGCATTCCTATCTACATTGGCCTTATGTGATGTGTCCTTCAACTTTCTGTCATTGCTCGAATTTTAATGGCATCAGTACCATAGTCAGCCCTCTCATCTCTGGTAAAACTGTTTAAGTCCAAGTACTTGAAAACATGTTGCCACAACAGTGTTGTCAAACGAACATCCTCTCCTGATTTGTAATTCAAGATTTTCTGACTTGTTGAAATTCTTCTAACTGTTTTGAAAGTTTTTTCATCTTGTGCAGTGAGTTCAACTCCATGAAGAGAAAGTTTTCGTCTGCATGCAATCTCAAACGGAACTGATTCTGGTCATACACAGATCGACGTTTCTAAATATATCACAGGGATTTCCTAGAATTCATTCACATTCGTTTTCGTAGTAAGTCATGAGTATGACAGACTTTGCAATTTCCTTACAAACGACAATCTACTTTGTGATTTATTGCAAGCAATTAGTAGTTCCAATCACAAGAAAAAATACCCATATATACAAAATATACAATTTTGTATATTTGGTATTTCCAAAATATACACTTTTGTATAGTTGGTATTTCGAAAACTATACAATTTTGTATATATGGATAGATTTTACCACTGCTTCATTGAATTTTTTGAACTCATAAGAGGTTTTCTTTGGGTTTAAAAACTAATGTTACCGAACAGTATTTTTGCACGTGACAATAACACGTTAATACTATTTCATTATGGCAACTATATTTGGAGTGTTATGAAATAATTTTTATTTCTTGATGTTGACAGCATTTTACATAAGAAATAGAACATTTGTGCAGATTTTAGTAACAGATAATGTAAATAATACCGCTGTCTTAATTAGATTGCGGTTTGAAAAAGCACTGTTTGTATAACGAAAGGCTGCTGCTGTTTTAATTAGGTCGGAGTTAGAAAAGCACTGTTTGTTTAACAAAAGGCTGCCGCTGTATAAACTTAATTGGGGTTAGAAAAGCACTGTTTGTATGGGGAAAGGCTGCCGCTGTCTTAACTAAATCGGGGTTAGAAAAAACACTGTTTGTATAGCGAATGATAGACGCTGTCTTAAATAAATCGGGGTTAGAAAAGCACTGGTTGTATAACGAGAGGCTGTCGCTGTCTAAACTAGAATAACCACTAAACGGAATAGCAAGAGAGTAGCCTTTTAGCGATTGTCACGATCATTGCAAAATAATAGATAAAAAATCCATTAATTTAAAATTGTACAAGGAAACATATATAGGAAACACATCGTTGGAATAAATTCCTATTATATTATGTTCACGACATTAGTTCTGGAGTTTTCAAAGTAAAATTTAATATATATGTTTCTGTGATTTCATGTAATGGTGATTCTTAATATGAAATATTGGTTGATATTGTTTGTCAAACAGTTGTACACACCATCGATTGCGATACTTCTACTTAAGGATGTTTGTTTAGTCAATTGGCATGCGTTCATTGTAAACAAGGATCATTAGTGTGAAAGGATTACTAAGTTTGTCATCCAGTATAATGCACTTCCACGAATAGCATAATTAGAACAGAGTTTGTAATTAGGTACATCCGGACTCCAGTTAATCAAGGCAGCTACATCAGTTGAGAGTGTGAGTTAGTGGAATTTAAAAAAATAACCGAACGCCTGTCGCAAAAATGCATTCGAACATTGAACACGCACAATCGCAGATTTCTATGGTACATTTGAGGGTGAACGTGAACGAAGCCGTGCAGGATGCCTAACAGCGATTTGTCTTCAGAACACACAGTGAGCTCAGGTGAGTTTATTAATGATGATATTTTTATTCATTCATAGATATGGCGATCATGAGCGCTGACACTATATGTGTTCGCAATAGAACATTTGGAAGACTAGACACATATTGATTCACTATATGACTACATCAAATCCAGTATTTGTTTAATGCAACAGGTTTAAAGCATTCAAAATTGTGCATTATTATAAAATAAAATGTGTGTCGCTTCGTCTCCCATGTAAAATACATTAATTATTTGTTTTAAATATAATTTAATATTACTATGAGTTTTACATTATAACTAAAATTATGGAGTCTTGCATGTCGAGCCAACAAACTATTGTACATATTATTCACATTGGAATTTCTGTTTACTGTGTTTGTGGTGGGGTCCAGACAAAGGGACAATTCCAAATACTACTGCGTAAAATATTAATGCTGATTTGGAGAAAATTACCAAATGGATGAAAGTAAGTAAAATTGAATCCAGAGAAAACAGAAGCTTTCTACTCACGTTAAATTAAAGTCTTCCCAAGTGCAAAACCTAATCTTAAAATGAAAGGAATTAATATTTATGACTTTGGGAATAATATTTCAGTCAGATTCTGATATTGACGAGTTAAAAAGGAAATCCCTATGATTAATTGCCTTAGAAGTCTTAGATACCTTTCTGGTGTCCACCACCGTAAACCATACTCACTCACTCAGTTAAATAACTCCTTTCACATAAATCGTTAGAAGTTATGAACAAGCATATAATGCCCATATTTGGGATAATTGTACCAAGAACAAGAATTAATCCTAGAATGTTTCCACTAAGATTCATTCCGGACGCTGAAATATTGCCGATGAGACGTTAAATTTTAACTCACTCACTTAATACAGACTATACGGACTATTTGTGGGGCGATAAGGGGTACAGGCCACGAGAAAATATATAGAGAAACTAACACAGCCATTACACCTTTTTACAAGATGGAAAACATCTTTGCTGTTAGTAATTACATTTATAGAAATCAAACCAATATACAGGCTATATGTTGTGGAAGAGAATGCTTTGCCAAGTTATTCCTACCTGATACCATTAATAATTTGAATAGTCATCTGATATAGAGGATTATTAAACTTGGACAGTGTGACTTATATACAGTTAAGCCATGATACCAGATTTTGTCACATAATCCTTTATCGCCTCGGACTCGGTTGTAGTGATTTAAACTTCCATCGGCTTAAAAGACAATATATTAAGAAACGATTCGCCTTTCTATTCTAAAGGCTAAGTGAGTTTATATTCAGTGGTTTATGGGAAACAATTTGTCAATTTAGCTATTTTGAAATCGGTCCATGTACATCCTACGTTCGGGTGAATTTGCACTAATGTTATAACTTAAGAATTAATTCATATTTTAAGACATGTATTAAGTATTTAACAGTTAAATAGCTTTTCTTAGTAATTGAACACCTTTCCATCGACCGCACCAAACTGTTGACCAATCGTTTTTCATGTATTCTACGTCAAATAAGATCAGAACACGTGTATAATTACAACATCCCCAGGATACCAATAACAACGAAATGTACAAATTAACAAACATGACCAACATTATTATTTCATGATAATGTAGGTGTCATGCATGTAATTATAGCTATTTAAACATATGTTTAATTATTCAGTTTGTGAAGTCGGTCATAAATACAAGAAACAGTTGATTCTGAAATTCTTTAATCATGTACTTTTAAGTATATTTTCCCGATATTATGTTATCCCCAAAAGGGCAATTATATTCATGTTATATTTATCAGTCAATTTTTTAATACGAATTACGTAACATTTATGCTACTTTGATTTTTTAAGACCAATGTTGTTGTTACAGATTCAGGGACCGACTAGGTTCATTACATGTCATAAAAGTGCCGGGACATAATGTGGTGGCAATACATTCTCTAATTAACACCTGTCACAAAGGGACGGGCCATTTGGGTTTGTCCTCAGGGAATGTGTTATGCAATTTGTGTATTCACGAAATAACATTCAACAAGTCGGGTGATTAAGGATTGATGCATTTGTACTTCATATAAATAAATGAATTACATTATTTTCTTAATCGTGTCCGAAATACGCATAATGTCGGAAAGCGCAGGTTGAATCCCCAAATACTGACTTCGTTCCTAAATAAATCACAACCCTCACTTATAATTGTATCACTGTATCACTTTAAATTTTAATGATGTAAATCACGTATCTGTCACTTTTTAATGTAGAATACGTCAGTCACTCAACCAGTTCCACTATTATTTTCCCAAAAGATCATAGATTAAAAACAGTTATCAAGATTTAATTTCCATATCGTTAGAAATTTTTAATCTTAACATTGAAACATCTTCATGTATTATTCTGTATTGAATGACATTAGATATATGCTCCTATACCGCCGCTGGTGTCTTAATTTGCGAGAATTAAACATTTAGTTTGCATCCAACCATGCGCGTCCCAAATTATACAGCGTCAAGCTTTCAGAGCTCCAAATAAGTTTTCCAAAGTAGAAATTAAGCAAAATGAATATTTATCAAGTTTCCTTTTGCTAGAACATATGCATGCTGTTATGGTTTTCAAAAAAAAAATCTTCGTTCTCTCTGTTGTTAACAATATTAAAACAACAAGTACTATAAAATATAATACGGAAATATATTACATATCATTTACGCATCCGGCTGCTCACAAAACAATGCTATTAAATTTGTGTCCCAGGGACTGAATACCAATTAGACCAAGCCAGCTCTACAGATACTGACTCTCTCAAAGACAGCAAGCTACATTATACAGTTAATTGAAAACTGTAATCTCAAACATATCTAATGCTACTTCAAAGCTTTATCATATACTTAGCAGTTGAATATTCTGTAAAATTGAAATTAATCCTCTATTAGTTTACAGTGACGATTCTTGCAGGCTATATAATGCAGGCACGGCCCCTTATGTATCATTCAATCTTTATCTTTCTCACTTTCTTATAAAGGCATAATGATCGATAATCTCTTCTGTTGCAGTGTGAAATGTTAATTTATTGTGAGTAAGGCTAATCCCTTTCTCCAGGCATAAATTGATCACTCACCAACAACTGACAAGGGATTACTCCTCGTTAAGGCAATACTAAGTGATACAATATACTGCAGATTAATTAACTAATTAAGGGTTAAATGAGATTGTTTACTCAGAGTGTGATGTAATCCGTTTGATGTTGAATCTTCAAAAAGGGTAAGCATACCCAACACTACCAGTAGCACCTGGCATTCCCAAATAGTGTTGTTCTAATACATCAAGCTATAATACTGACACGTTGCTTAAGGGTTATCGGAATAAATTTGAATTTGAGTTTCACATATTCTCCTCCATTGCTCATGAGCATATACATGGATATACATACATATGCATTATAAATTTGAAATGCAATTGTAAATAAAGTTGTTGTTTTTCTTCAGAAGAGTCGTAACCGAGTCCTCGGGATACGCCATCGCAACCTTCCCGTCCAGAAGAAACAGAGGTACGAGGGCGCATTAAAGATAGCTCAGTTGATGCCCTCCGAGGAAAGTAACTATGACGAAGACGGCATAAAGATTATTTTACAGTACGACCAAAGAACTGCGAGTCGACGGAACTGCAGATGGCGAAGAGGCTCGCAGATGAGACATACATTAAGAAGCTGGACAGTACAGCAGCTTTCCCTAAGGCAAGACGTGTCCGTTGACCACCATCCAAAAACCCATTCCCTGACATGAAGAAGGATATGTCATGGGTCAATACCGAGTATGGAATCCCGTGGTGTGGTATGGTGTGGTGTGGTGTGTTTAACGTAATATATGTGGGTGGGTTAGTGACTGAATTTGCGGATGTGTGTGTTCGTTGTACTTCTATGGGGGGTGGGGTGGGTGATGGGTATTTTGTCTCAAAAGCCAAAATGGTTGGTTGTTTAAATAGTGACACTTTAATAAACTATTCTTCTTCTTCTTCTTTTTGTTCATTGTCAAGATGCTGTGTATTACTTCCCAGACTGATGACATGTGTTATCATTTTTTATCTTCAAATATCACGATGTGCCCACTGATACCGTCATTATGTTGATTGCCTGATTGTTTAGAACTATCAGTCGCGATGTGTTATATGATTGCTTTGTATAACATCGGCATGCTGTTCACTTTCATTGGGACTGGATGCTTTGCACAATAGCGATAGTATCTCACTGTTAATTATTTTTTTATCATTTGCATTTACATAAGTAAAGAACATATCAATTTAATCTGAATACGTCAATGTGTCAATTTCTTGTTCTAAAAAGTACAGGTATAAGTATTCATATTCGACTTCTTATCATTTGTATTTGTAAGAATTTTTTAAAATTTTCTTGCGCCTGTTGTACATTTCATTTATGGTCGTAGTTTGTTGACTTTGCTAACAATATTAGACTGAGCCCCAAGAAATGTTTTGAACATTTGATTGCATTTTAAGCAATTTTGTGCCGTCTGGACAATATTCATACCAACAAATGTAGCAGTGGCAAAAGTAAAAAAAAACAAAGATGGCGGATGTAAAATTTCGGAGTTAAATCAGTACTTTTAAAAAATCGGGAATAGTTTCTGCACACCCGGCCACCTGGGTTCCAGCCACTAATGCCTAAGTCAACTTTTGCCTACAAATAAATAAAACAGTGTGGAATAAATCCTACACAATGAAAACAACATGCCCATGCTAGGAATGAACTCTTTGAAATGTCTTTGAAATCATCAAATATCTGCTGGTGTATATACTATAAGAACTAATGCAATGATGCAGAAATGATGCACTGATAGTAGGTGTCGCTGAAAATCACTGGTGCATGACTTTGTTTATTGTAAGCCGTAGGCATTAGTGGACGAGGACGCCACCTGGGAGCAATACTGCCACAAACGTGCAATGTCCCTTTCCCCATGTTGAAGCATATTGAGAAAAGCATACCTTTGTACTTATTATCTTTTGTAAAACATAAAACATTAATACAACATATATCCCCGTGTTATGGGTTTTCGGACGCTGAATAAACATTCATAGTTTTTTCACATGAACAACTGTAAAACATCTCATTCACTTATAAAAGACAACTTAATCATAAAAAAAGTCATAATTGGATTATTAACAATTTCTGTGTGACGCCTCACCCCCCCCCCCCCCCCCCCCGCCGTTATAGTGCAAGTATTCAGGATAGAAAACGTATGATGTCCGGAAATGATCCCATGATTGTGTGATGAATAATAATAAAGGCATGTTTGATGCTGAAAACTCGAAAACAGGACAATCCGCAACGGTTGTCCGGCAACACGATATTTTCGGAGTATTTTAAAAAATATATCTTTCATTATATTTTGAAGAGGATTTTTCCAAGGACTGCCGTTTTTAAAAAAACGCGATTTTCCGCGTTCCGCCTAGATTTGACATTATAACAATGTTTTCCCTACAATTAAACCGACACCTCAGAACAAACCAAATTCAACACTTTAAATTAATAATAAAATAGTTTTCATCCTCTGTGCAATCCACACTGTTGGCTAATCTGCCATGTGCACGAGAGCATGTTACAAATCACATCGCGGCCTCCCCGTACAAACGAATCCAAGCTCAGCACAAATTGATTTCAACACTTTCAAAACAGAAGTCACCTGCAATCACCCCCGACAGCTAATCCTCTCTGTGCATTTGACCTTAAAGTCTACTCATATACCAAGCACCGCGCCAGGAAAAGTACCAGACGCCTCAATTGCTTACCCGTCAATATCATTGCAAGGAGAGTATGTACTCCCGCTAACAGTGTGGAGTACTAATTAAACATTCCAGTAATGTTACCCGCCACTATATCAGTTTTTTGTAACTTCTGATACTATTTTGCACATACAAAACAATTATAGAGCAATACATAGCAATTATCCTCCTTTACCAACATATACAAAGAAACACAGTGCTCAACACTTCAATTTGCACATATATAATAATTATACACAAATACATCATTTTTTTGCAGTGAATAAATCGACATATTGCACACTATCGCTGCAACTATCGTAAGTCACATAGTTCAACCTGGACTTATGACAGTCGTAGAGCTCTGATCGCTTTGTGAAACAAGGCGCAGAATGTATCGATCAAAAGCCGTATCCGTCAGGCAGACACATACCAAACAAAGTACACTTAGATTGAACTGCAGCATCCTTCCTTTGAACATGTGCTTTATAATTTGAATAAATAACGCTTCGCAAAATATAAGCAGTTTTAAGGGTCATGACAAGGACCTCACAACCATATCATACTTTAAACGAGTCTACAATAACACAAAACACCGAATGATTGTATTGTGCCGCCAGCCTGGGCCATGAAATGTTGAACATGTATAAAGATATCAGTGTAATTTGCAACATCTACGACTAATGACAATGAACTGGACTTACGTGTAGCAACAACAGCACTCATCCTTTTAGGATTGGTCTGAGCAGTGTTTACTCTTCAGGTTGCTTCTTGTTTGTGAGGAAGGTGAAGGTGTCACAATACACTCAACAAGGACGGTAGACAGGCGCTGGCATATATATAACACAATGCACTAGTGTTTGTATGAACAGCTACCTGCTATAAAAAGATCCACGCATTTATGGATATACACTGTGAGCACACTCCTTTACATTCCTAGGTATCTATACATTCTGTCCTTTGTAATACAACTTAAGGTTCGCCTGCAGATATCAGTATTTTTTAATCGGTTTAATGCATTATTTGTTTTAAATTTGACTCTTGCTTATATAATACATGACATGAAACAGTGTCGTTCGTGTACGCCATAAATTATGTTTGACCCATTTACAAACAATGCCCACTTCCTAGAAATGAGATATTGTGGGGAACGAAGTCTAGGAATAACTCACACGTCACGGTGTGTGCGTTTGAAGAAAAATGTTTGTGTGAGGCAATGCAGACAATGAGGCAGTATCTGTGCGGCTAAGCATGGACCACATACATCTTTGCTTATCCAAATATTAGTTAAAGAGGGCAGTCAGCCAGTTTTATTATCGTTTGGTGTAGTCAAACTGAAGTGAAAATATGAGCCCTATTTTGACACCTGGAAATAGCATAGACAACAATAGGCTGTAATCACACGGTGTGTGCAGGTTGTCACATGCTTACGGTGAGTCACAAGTTTGTTATTTGCAATCAACAAGTAAAGTAAGTGGACGTTATATTCAAAACGTCAGCGATCATTCTTTCCAAATATCGCTTAATAACAGAATGAGGCTTACATTATCAATTCTTTCTTTCATACAGGTGTAGGCCATTGGCCCCATTATACACTATCTAATACAGAATACAATTTAGTCCGGTAATAAATTATGACACTACATCGAATTTGCAGATTATAATACTATAAGTTTCCTAACTGTCATTGCATGATAGATAAAGGTAGGTAAATTTAGTAAAACATGTTTAATTTGAGGAAGGCATGAGTATATTCAATTTTCACAGTGATGGATGGACATAATATTTCTGGAGTAAGAACATTTGAAGGAGATCTTTATACACATTGCAGATTAACAGCAAATGGTACTCTGTCTCTTCACAGCCCAGACTACAAACGTTGCATAGTCTTTGTTCTCTGGGTACGTGTACATATCTACCTGTCTGAATTTCCTAGTTTTGAGGCGTCAATAGATTGTAAAGAGTCTAAGATGGATTGTGTAACATCATCAAAATTCATATGATCAATACAAAGATCTCGAGTACAGAATCAAGTAAAGTTTTAAAGAATGTATACCATTGCTTCATACAAATATAAGGCTTAAGATTGACAGTACCTGCTGATAAGCGATTCAATGATGACCAAAACACTTAACTATCGAACAAGTAATTCAGTATGTTACATTGAATATTATTCTGATCAGTTGTCCTCTTGTCACGAAGTATTTGTCTGTGTCTATGTCTCACGCTCATATAACCAGCTCATGATTTTCTTTATATAATCTAAATGCCTTCAATAATCTAAATCTCGGTAATAGCAGCATACCTTATAAAACCATGGATGCTTAAAAGCAACACTAAATCTACTACTTTTCATACAATCTGAAGCAGAACACATTATATCGGTACATAACTGTACGACCCGTGAAGATCTTCAGCAGCCCATGCTTGCCGTAAAAGGCGACTATGCATGTCGTAAGAGGCGACTAACGAGATCGGGTGGTCAGGCTCGCTGACTTGGTTGATGTATGTCATCATGACCCAAATCCGTGAATCGATGCTTATGATGTTAATTAATGGATTGTGTGGTCCACACTCAATTATTTACAGACCGTATTTCAGCTTGAATATTACTGAGTGTGGCGTTAAACAAAAAACAAACAAACAAACAAACATATCTGTACCGTTTCATCCAGTGAAATCGAGTAGATTAATTCAGTACACGTATCAAGCCTCATCCAGTGAGGGTAACCAGTCTCTTAACACAGCTGCCCTGTCCTCGCTCCACACATAAGGGTAACTGTCACATGGTCCACGTATATCACGGCGCGATATGGTCACGTGAGTGAACGATACAACTGAGTGGCATGTGTGCAGATTCTGGCTGAGAGCCAGTGTCAAAGTCTGCACCCAATGATAGCAAGACCGGCGAGGAGATAATATAACCAAGCACACTTGCTCCACTGTGACGTATAAATGTGAAAATCTCCATCCCGACGTCGGTACACAGCGACCATTATGAACAACTTCAAAGCATACCTGTTGACCAGTTTATCACAGGAGGACCGTTTACCATTCACACTGTCACATAATTCTGAAAACTCTTTCATTCCGAGTCAATGTCATCCTCAACCTTGTCTGGCAATGATCCTGTTCGCCCGTTGAACTCGCCACCAAGTAGGATATGAAGCTATTTAGTAGGCATTACTTAAGTTGACGGATGACAAAGTAGGCACAATTTATGGATAACAACTATTTTAATACTGTAAAGGCGACGTTTCGGTATAGATTCTTATACGTATCTATATCGTTACAACCGTATAAGGATCTATTCCGAAACGCCGCCTTCAAGTATCAAAGAAGTTGTTATCCATAAATTGTGCCTACTTTGTAGGATATAAAGATCACTAAACTTTTGTGTCAAATCTAGCAGTGTTCAAGCAATAAACTAATACCACATGTTGTTGTCTCAGTGCCATCCCATGTTGATCCATCGGGATGGATGGATACACATGCGACAAACACATCTTTTTCCACGCCAAAGAAGTTCTTGTTGAGGATATTATTACATTATCATCAACGGGTGTTTCCACACAATACTCCTCACTGGCAGCTGTAACACTGACGTGCAGAAAGTGAATATCATCATGACGTATTTGGGTAACGCGTTACTTTTAGTCTGTGAGCCTTTTTCTATTGCTGGATTGGTTCCTTTACATGCAAGACATTCAGTAGAACAATACATCACTCGTACATAATATTATCAGACATCGATTACAGCCGCCTTTTAATATTATGTCCTCAAATTTGTTATTGTAACATGGAATATGTTTGTAGAGGTACTGACATGTTCATGTGTGGACATATTTTTATTTATTCTGTCCTTTCGTGCTTCTAGCATTATTCAGCTATTTTATCTAAATCTTTTGTTAAGAGCAATAATTCACATGTACCTTAGCCATGCAAGTTCACTGGTCTTTGTTTATTTATTTATTTATTTTCTCGTACAAAAGGTAGGCCAGCGCTTAATGTTAGTCACCCAATTAGATTTGCCATTCGAAGCTTCAAGAAGCAACATATAGTAACTTTTCTTCAGGTAGCGGGAATCAACCATATTTTAAATCTTACACCAGTATGAAATGGTCGTATGTTAAAATTCATGATTCGCTCAGATTCGGATGCTTGGTTGATCAGCATCATCCCCCGTGCCAGCTGGTATTACCCAAGTGGTAAAGTTCAACGACCTTCATTATTCTGGGTTTCCTTCCACGTTACACCTGATGCATCTAAAGTAATGTTAAACTCCACTCAACACACACTCAAGTTTCCAATAATGCATTAATTTTACAATGTCGAAAACATTCTGTGATGTATGCACCCTCAGAGTTACCCAGTATGAACTTCTCAGCATGTAGCTTGAGTGTTCTGTTCTGTTCTTATAATTTACGCGCAAAAGCCAGTGCAGCCCCTTGTGATTCTTGATAAACAGAAACCCCAAAATACCTTTGATAGGTTTGAGGAATGTTCATACTCATTTCACTGGATATATCAGAGCCCCAAATAATGATGAAGATAAGAAGTTATACAATAGACTTTATTAACATAAGTATATATTCGTTCAATTTTCGATTGGTCAGTGCATTAGAAAAGAACGCATGAACAGTGTTCTATGCTCTTCAATATTCCAGCTGAGTTACGGTGGCCTGTGAATAATAATGAGGTGAGATGGGGTTAAACGTCGCGTCCAAGATTATTGCACTTATATAGTGACATGCATGTACGTGTGTGTGTGGCTGTTTGTACTAGTCCGGACTAATGCCGATTTATAGTGCTAGTCCACACTTTATCATGAATACCCCACTCAGACACAGTACAGTGATTCCAAGCTGACCAGCCATATTAGTGCCTCAATGTCGAGCAACAACAAGTACTGTCTTATAACGTCTTTTGGTAAAGCGGTACCCTGCTAGGGACACATTCACACATGCAACTCGCAGTAAACACAAAATTCAAAGTTCGAGGATTTATTCAGATGCATGTCAAATACGGGAGCCATCGCACATCACACATCAAATATAGCTACTCATCGTTAACTCCGTGAACTCCATGGTTCCTCTTCATTTACATTGAAACATCGCAGTTTGCCAAATTCTCCACCACGTGCTTTCATCACAACAAATCATGTTTTCTTACAAAGGGAGATATAAACACATGTTCTGTGCATACAACTAAGAATATCTCATTACATCGCTTTCTCCTACCCCTACATTTAGTATGACGGGGATCGAACACTGGACCTTCCGCTCTCCAGGCAGACGCGCTACCACCAGACCACAGAGTCGGCCTGTGAATAACGGGGCCACAGTGCTGTTAATAGAGAAGAATGTGCAAAGGTACACGCTGTTACCACCGAACCCTATCGTCATTAAAGTCATACGGTGAGTATGGGATCCGGGATCCTACCTATTCTCTCTTGGAATCTCCATTGCTAATGTATTACAAGCATAAAATACAGTAAATAAAACGACAAGACCCTTTCCACATCCAATAGAAATCTCTGCTCAAACAGAGTTGATTGTACGATTCTGACTATATCATGAGCATGTGTTCATAAATAAGTCTCAAATGGTAATGATCCCAGTTGTTTGCAAAACGGTAGCATATACTAGTAATTATGTATAGTTTGACATAAGACTTCTATTGTGTTGGATGTATATAATTAGAGAACAGGAACTGAAGTTGGGTGGGTATTCTTATGTGTTACAGCTGTTTTGTATTAAATAGAGATCAGGGTTACTGAATGTATCGAAGGATGAGTAAAAACGCATTTAAGTCTATTGACTATAATTTGAAAATGCAATATATTTAAATACTTCATAATATTTAATTACATTTTTGTATCTTTGTATTTGTACAAAGCAATGTAAACAATGTTTATAACGTACATGCTTTTACCAACTGGCGGATAAAGTGAACGTATTTTTTGGCCTCGGCCTTCTGCTGTACATATGCTTTTAACATACTACGGTCATAACGAACTAAAATAAGTGGTACCTTCTTAAAAACTTAGTTTACTGCAGTTGTTTTCTGGTTGCATTGTTTAGAGGACCAGCTTTACCATAAAAGTAACTGTCTTCAGTGGATTAATGTTCAAATGTGAAATGCATAATATATCCAGACGATCATGGATACAATCACACAATGTTCATGACAGCTTTTAGGTCACGTATCCTCTGTTTCTTCCTCTCGGTGGCCGTCTGTTGCTTCTTGAAAGCTTGCTGCATCATCCTCCTCTTCTTTTCCTGGAGGTCCAACATTCGCTCCTCAATAGTGTCCTCCGAGATGAACTGGAACAGCCAAGACCATTAAAGACCTTGTCTGGGTGAGTGAGAAATTCAAAAAGCTGCACTGAACCAACCTAATGAATACCAAAGCCAGTTGTATTAGAAACTTAGAAGGGAATAATTATTTCCCAAATCAATTAATATTCGAAGCAATTAGAAGGGAGTGAGTGTGCAACCTTTGTGATGATGACGTCTTTGGTCTGGCCTAGGCGGTGGCATCTGTCGAAACACTGTTCCTCCACGGCCGGGTTCCATTGCTGAAGTTAAAGTAAGAGGGGGGTTAAACACCTGATTATACAAAAACGCTTTGGACAAACTAATCAACTTGCTGTCCTGGATTCTCACCGGCTCCATGAGGAACACCCTGGACGCTGCAGTCAGGTTGAGACCCAAGCCACCCGCACATATGGAGATGAGGAAGATGGTGGGAGATCCCGGCTCGGGGTCAAAGAACTTCTTGACAGCTTCCATGCGTTGTGGGACAGACATTGTGCCATCAAGTCTCACAAATCTGAACTTGAGCTCTCTGGGGGCAAAAGGAACAGAACAATCAATAATATATTCAGTGGTCCTTGTTAGGATCTCGTAATTTCGGATATTTCATATCTAATTATGGCGAAAGACACATCTGGCACTGCCTGGTTCATGTTGATGAAATATTAGTAAGATCTTGTGGTGTCGGATATTTTATATTTGAGTAAGGCGACTCATTTGTCACTTAAGTAGAATCAGGGTAAATGAAGTAATTGTGCGGACTAGTCTCTCGGTCTGTGAGTCTTTGTTGATTGATGTCAACAGAAGTGATACTTCATTCAAAGTTAGAGGAAGTCAACATAGTTTCCGATAATGACTGTCAGATTCAGATTCTCCAGAGATTCCAGATGAGGATGCGGGTGGGGTGAAACACCCTACCTAAGTGGCGTTTCTATGAGCGTCAGGAAAGAGGTGAACTGCGAGGCTACCAGACTCTTTACAGATGGGTCTTCACTTCTCAGGTTCACCAGGGCTCTCATCAGGGCGTCCACCTATAGGCACCAGGGCAAGAATGATTATGAATGATATAAACTAGCCCGATCTTTTGATGTTTAGAGATGTCCTGCTTTATTTTGATAGCCCTGTGAAACCACAAAACGTTTTAGTTATTTTTGCTAATGTTGTGCAAATGAAGTTTTAAGTTTATCTAAAACTAATGGCGCCCTGCCTCGGAAAGTCATTGTCCCAAGGCCCAATATGATAAACTCATGCATGAAGTATGTAGTATATTTTCTGTACAAAAGTACTACATGCAGCTGAATGTTTAGAAAACTGAAGACTAAACTTTGTAGTGTTGATAGTTTGGGTGAACACATGGTATAAAAAATAGCCTACTTTGGTACTAGACTTCCAGTCGCCATAGGTATGAGGTTCTGGCTGTGCTGGAAGTTCAATTATCTGATCTTGAGATATCGGCGCACGGCACATAGGACATGTAGCATTAGTCTGAAACAGTACATTTGAAATGTATATAATCACCAATTATAACTGTACACGTTTTAGCGTTATAAGTTATTTCTTATCTTAGTGACTAGATGTGAATGGTAATAATTTTAACACTCCTTAGAAATTAGTAACATTTGGCGCCGTTTGGATAAAAATTAAAGCAGTAACATTATGCATTTAATATACAAGTGCAACCTTATATGTTGGAATATAATTCGTGATAAATTATCATACATTTGAGATTGTAATTACTTGGTTGCCACACACAAAAAACTGTAATCGAGAACAGCGTCTGCTGTGTCCGCAAAAATGACGACTTTGAATGCGCTGATTTGTTGGTAACTGTAGACTTGACCAGTTGTTTTTTTTGTCACAAATGATATCGCCATATGAAACGTCCTTGTTTTCTTCTTTATGCTACTTGCCATATCCTTGTATCACGGAAATATGTGAACAGATGTTCAAACTGACTCAGTTCCCATGCATATTAACATCATATACATACACCGAGAAGCTATCAAGTCCTGTAAAGGCCTACCAATCAGGTTATCTTTGTCAAGCTGGTTAAAGTTTCATTTGGCTTGTTTGCATTTGACAGACACAGAAAAAGATAAAAGACACCTTAGCTGCTGTGACGTGTGACATAAGGTGAGCGTATCCTGCCCCACTGGTGGCACCCATCACAAACACACACACAAAGGCAAATAAAAAACAAGGGAACATACCGTATAAGTCAAACTATGGAATTGAATCGGACATAATTGTTGTTACTGATGCGTCAAATTTCCTCCACATGTCCATCATAAAACCTTTTGAAAGTTTTACTGAGGCATTGAATGTTGAAAACTTGATCAAACAACTTCTGAGAAAGATTGGTTGGTTTGTTGGTTTGTTGTTTAACGCCGCACTCAGTAATATTCCAGCTATATGACGGCGGTATGTAAATAATTAAGTCTGGACCAGACAATCGAGTGATTGATATCATGAGCATCGACCCACCACTTGGGATCGATGACCGTGCTTCAACCAAGTCAGTGAGCCTGACCACACAATCCCTTTAGTCGCCTTTTACGACAAGCATAGTCGCCTTTTACGGCAAACATGGGTTGCTGAAGACCTATTCTAACCCGTAAAAGTCGTATGATGTTCTTTGAAATCTTGGTAGAAAAAGCGTGCATGATTGTATCCGAAACAATCAAATATACCACATATCTCTCAAACACCATCATATAACTAAAACACTGGTCACAGTCAAGACGACTCGTATAGTCAGTCTCTCCAAAACAATGTCATCACTTCTTGAAAAATGTATTTAAAGTATTATTGTCCAGTAGATGAAGAAACGATAGACACAAAGAAAAAAACCAGAAAAATATGTTCTGTTTACCTTCAGATGTTGACAGTGTTTTGTCTAGAAACACAACTAATATAATATGGTTAGGCCTTAGTTAAACGGTGGACCTTGCATTCCATGGTTACTATCAACACACATATGTTCTCACCTTGTTCGTCTGCTCCATATATTTTATAGTGTAAAGGATGCATAGCCGACAGAAGCAATGTGTACACGGCAGTATAACAGGATTCTTCAGGACTTCGACACACACAGAGCAATCCTCATCAGACTCGCTGATGACCTGCAGTCTGTCCACCAGCGTACCGCGATTCTTTGCATCTATGTCATCAAGTAACAGTCATCTTGTATAAAAGTCGAAAAAAAACTATTCGCATAGTTTTCTCATTATTGGAAGTACAATAAACTACGTTTGTAACGAACATGCTTAGAACGAAGTGACAGATATAACAAACTGTACGTTTTGTCCCGGCCATTAGCCATATATTTTATCATATAGAATTGATGGATATTACAAACATTCTCATAACGGAATAACAGATTTCGCAAACTCACATTGTGGTCCCGTGTGTGCTATGTCAACGATAATGTTTAATGGTATAATGAACTGTTAATCCCTGAGCTGAGCTCCTTACGTGTCACCAAACTGCCTATCAAAGCATCCGCGGTCAAGCGCTGCTGTTCAAAGCGTCAATAATCAATTGATGGCAATTGAATTGCTCTTAAGTACTGACACCTCCTCAAATTACACCCTCAATGAATAATAGTAACACAGTGATTGAAGTGGATATATTCTGTACATGTACAGTGCACACTTTTGTTATTTATGGAGTAACATGATGTCACATGACTTGATAAACGATGTCTGACGGTCGAAATGCGTATATGGAACGACGGATATAACGAACTTGAATAAGTGGTCCCTTTGAGTTCGTTATAACCGTTAGTTACTGTATTCGTATTTGGTTTTCAGATAGATAAGTGTCAGACAAATTGCTTAGTAGAAAGACGACGTACCTGTGCCATCATGTGGCAGCCATGACTGAGGCACCAGGTAGGTATGACAACTCATTTGACGTAGACGAAGGATGATCTCAAGGACAAGGTAGTTTTTCCTACCCATTTCATTGTGTCGTACAAGTCTGGAACACATGTACATCAGTGAGGTCACAGCCTGGATTAGTGCTTATTAGAATGGAGAATGGTACACGTTTCCCTTTGATATCTTATTGGAAAACATTCGGCTGTTAACAGTAATGCTTGTTTCTGCATTGTACTTCAAGTATCTCTTGACACATCACAATAAGTTTTTTTGTTGGTTTCCACTGCACTTGAGAAGATGTACATAGACAAAATACAAACCAATTCATTCAGCACCGGTGACTCCCTAAACAAGAGTTGTATGGAATCAGCACATATGACACGTAGACAATCAGTTCCTATATCGGGACAAAATGAAGATAACTTTATTTAAAGAAAGGTAGAGGGAGTATATGGAGCTGGAAGAAGAGTTATTGTTTTTGTTTGTTTGTTTGTTGTTTAACGCCGCACTCAGCACTGTAAATAATCGAGTCTGGACCAGACAATCTGACCACCCTCCTGACCATCCGATCCCGTTACTCGCCTCTTACAACAAGCATAGTCGCCTTTACAGCAAGCATGGGTTGCTGAAGACCCATTCTACCCTGGATCTTCACGGGTCAGAAGAAGAGAACAGTTTTATGTAAGCTCCGATATAGTGCCCAGTTCCACCTACTGCTTTATCACGATCTTCCCTCGCTCCTCTAGGAACTTGTACCTCCGGCTCTCCTCGTCCGACATCTTGATTCGCTCCATGTACACTTCTCTCTTGGGCAGTTTTACAAGAGGCTCTCCATTTACGAGCGTGTTCTTTGTACGACGCATGGCGATGTTCTCCATGAGATGTTGCACTCTTCTTTAGAACACATGTCCAGAACAAACAGTAGTACACATCTTACAGTTTGTATCAATTAAAATTTGCAAGGTGGCATGTTTTTCATGAACATGTTTATCTCGAGTAGAGGTTGCCAGTTGTCATACTATGGACTATGTTACTTTTTGTGTATTGTTTGTTCATGCCTTGCTATTTAAAGTTATCTAAACAGGTACCTACTTAAAGATAATCTCGATACCACGTTGCAGTGGTTTCTCCAACAAACTGTCCCACCAGTGCCTCTGTTTGAGAGGCGTCACGTTAAGGAAACTGACCAGCGGGTAGAGATCCAGCATCCTGTTCTGGATGGGTGTACCTGGATATACAGACAGAATATGTTCGAATATCATTTTGGTATACAAGGGATGTTACAGCAAGTGTGGATGGGTTTCTGGCATTTGCTTCAGTCATGTTAACAAATATAAAGATGAACATCAAATAATACACAAGAGATAGTTTACCATATGGAACAGGGGTGTCTCCATAATGGATTTCAGCAAACTTGAGTATAGGGCAGTCCTTTTGACCAAGGAAGGGTATACATGATGCAATGGTCAAAGTGATGTGGAATCATGCTCCTCATTACATGACTGAAGTACGGTGGACTGGAGATGATCCACAGATGTATGCTGTAGATCTTGACCGTGAATAGGAGGTTTCAGTGTGTAGTATTCCAAACATCTTTCATCAAAATCTTTGTATGTCTGAGGTGTCAGCAAGATGGGTTTCAGAAAACTCCATCTGCAAGATGTCCCAATAAGGATTGAGTGCAGTCAATCAAACATGACTTTGGTTGTCTGTATGCTGCTCGAGGTCTCTCTCTCATGTTGCACGTGGTCTCTCTCTCCAACACGTTGAGAAATGCAATAATCAAATACAAAGACACGTGGGATTGTAGACTCGGATATCTTAAAATCTGTTGTAGGTCAATCAGAAGAGTTCCTTAACAGGGTGATATAAGTGTTAGGTCAAATGAACCAAATATATCGAAAAAGGAGGTCTTTTGAAGGAAAAATAAACTCAACTTTGTGCTCCTCACTTTTGTATATCAATTGCAGAACTTGTTAAACGCCCTGCCTATTATGTACATCATTTGCCACATGTCGAAATGATGATGTATTCATTATATTCGAATATTTGCAAAATACAAAGCAATTTAATCCCACTGCAAGGAATTCAATGATTTGCTACATATGAAATGCACAGCAATAACATTAAAAAGAAACAAAAGTCCATACACATTCTCTTAGCATGATATCTATTCACAAGAATGTTTACAATATCTGTAACTATAGAGCCTCAAGGAGAACGAACGAGCGAACAAACGAACGGACGAACAAATGAATTGGGCCCATGATAATTTCAGGTCACTTTGTTCATATAAGGTTGTGGATCACAATACATACCAGAACATGTCTAAAAGGTGTTATTTGATAAGGGAGTTTTCAACATTTCCTCGATTTTTGTATTGAAACACAGGGAGGCTGCTTTCGCCTGGGTCGACCAAACAGTAGAAGCACAAACACTAAGGGACCGCTATCACTTGTCTAGAGGAAACTAGGTAAAATGCCAATGTTCCCAATATCCCCAGTTTTGTAGTTGTGTTGCTATCCCTCTAGATCCAGCAGGGCGTGTTCGGGACAGTTCGGGACTGTACTTATGGTTGTTGTCTTCATCGTCATCTTTGGATCCACGATGCTGATAATGGCGTCTTTCATACTTGCCAGTTTCTTATTCGTGTTTGCGACTCGACTCTGTATCTGCGTTTTATGTTCATCTTCGTCAACTGTGAAATCAACTGTAGTTCTTGAGGGCACTGTTTGATAGAGTCATTGGTGTCCTCATTTTAAAAACGTGTCTCAAATTAATCTGTTGATGCTAGTTATTTTCATAACAGTCTAAACGATTTTCCATTAGATTCTTTCCTTAATGTGCCTTATAAGCACGAAATATTCAATTATCCAACGGTTGAATGTGAGCGGTTGAGTTAACTTTTGTCAATGAACACTGTCTAGTAGGGTTGTCCAACAATATAATCAAACCTTTGGTAAAAATACACATTTTCTTTTAGAGGTCATTCATACACGCCTTTATGTTTGATTGCAGTATTGAGCATAAACTCTGGGTAGAAATCATTAGAAAAACAAAGTGGTGTCATGCGCCAATGACAAAGGGCTAATATTTCACTGAATCATCAGAGTTTGTCATACATTTACACACGTTGTAGGTTACAAAGAAATATTGCTGGACATATATTTGTATCAGACGTTTTCTTTGAGTTCATAACCAGCAAAGTTGTTCTTCAATAACTCACAGCACCCACTATTTTTTGGGACTTCCTACTGTGCCTTCTGCTTGAGATACTGTGTCCAGAGCTTCATCCGAGAATGCGGTGTCATTATATACATTTATTTCTAGTTCAGGTTGGTAAATCAATGGAAGGAAATTGGATATTTGACCATTATTGAATGTGCCCATGTGATCATTGATGTACCTGAAGCTTATATTAATTTAAACTTCTCGGCCAAGTTACAATACCATGGTGATGCCACTTCTTGCATAAATGTCTTACCCCAATATTTTACAGTGAGTGAGTATCATTGTACGCCACTTTAAGCAATATTCCAGCAATATCACGGCGGGGGACAGCAGAAATGTTGTACCCATGTTGGGAATCGAACCCGGGTCTGCGGCGTGACGAGCGAACGCTTTAACCACTAGGCTTCCCGACCGCCCCTCAATATTTTACAGATATGTTATCAATGAGGAGGTGCAACATATAGTTTTCTCAGCAACGTTTAGGTGGCATTTGCGGCTATTTCTTTACTAATTGTCCTGAACCTTTGAAGATAGATATGTAACTGTATCTAGGGTCACCACGTCACACACTGACTTAACCCACACTCGAAGACATTCAACAGGTTCATCTTCTCTCGGGGCCATATTTTGGCAAATGCTTCGACAGCTTCGACAGCTTCCATAAAAAAAGTTGTGATCCCAATTGGTTGAAGGCTGATCATGATATTTTGGTTCATAATTGAATAATTGACGAAGGTTGTTATTGTCAGTCAACAATGGAAAAATTACCTGTAATTGTATGACCTACAGGCTGGTAGCAGTATGGTGAGGCTTGGCAGCCACATGCAATGGAATTTACATCCTGAGCTGCCAAGTCAACACTCTGAACAACCTGGATGAGGTAGTGTCCGTATAGCAAAAGTGAAATTGTTGAAGGTTCCTTAAATTTGAAATAATGTGGGAGATTTGGGGGAAAGTTATTTTTGTCTGAGAATGTTACTTCATCTGTCTTCATCTGCATAAATGGAGTCTGTCCCAAAGCAATATCAAGAAGTATACTCTGTAGTCAATACTATGGACTCTTACTGTTTGTAGACCCACCCATCCACAAACCTTGCTGCAATCGATTAATTTCTTAAGTACAACTAACAGAATGTGTAATGCTTGATTCTTGAGTAGATTTTTCACGCCATGCTCTAATTGTAATACGTTTGTGAAAAAATAAAATTCTGTGTTACCTGAGAGCACCCACTTGCGCTGTGCTTTGAGTGCAAGCACAGCTTTTGTTTGCAGAGCCCTTGGGTTTCGGATGATATGTCCTTCATCCAAGACGATGCGAAGCCAGTTAAGTGTAAACACTGGGGCCTCCTCCCCTTTCACATATTTCTGAAAGTAGTCATGACTCTTGTTATTGTAATGGTGTCATCCCTGGGCAAGTCAATGAATTCATGCAAATATTTTCTATAATCTGTTAAGGGGCACGGGCGGCCCAGTCGTCTAAAGCGCCACTATTCGCTATGCAGACTAGCGTCTCTTGGGCACGCAAGAAACCTTTGTTTGTGGGTTCGAATCCCAATTCGCCCCGATTATGTTTTTAGGTTTGTCAGCACCATATCCCTGCTCGTGGGTGTCACTGGAAACTGGAATACTGTTAAAAGCAGCGTTAAACCCAAATCACTCACTCACTCTATAATGTGTTCACATAAGTAATACTCCCTCAATTTCACTCAATATGTTGACAATTAAGCTGTGCAGAGTTGTGTCCCTTGGGCACGCCAGAACCCTGACTTGAGTGTGATCGTTGGTTTTAATCCTGGTATGTCCCCTTTATGTTTCTAGGTTTTTCAGCATTATACCCATGCTCATGGGTTTCACCAAAGTGGTAAATACCTAGCTTTCCTCCCACATTATCACACCCTGTGATATTTTGTTCATAGCACCATTAAACCCCACACATTCACACTCGGGGAAGAATAATCTTCCAAAAATACTCCCTTCGAATCACAGAATACTGTGGCAATAATACTCATGATATAGTCGCAATCGTACAATCAACTCTGCTTTTGGCAGAGATTGCTTCTGAATATGGAAAGGGTTTAGTCACCTTTATTTTCAAGAGACTAAGTTTGCGTACAATGCTCATAAGACCAAGAAGCCTGCAGATGACACATTGTGGAATGGCAGCCTATTCTTCCTGACGAGCTTGGCAAAATTGCTGCAGATTCTATGTCCATTAACGTCTATAAAGCGCACACTAAAGCCCTTCAATTTGGTCCGGTGACCTCAATGGCGGCCAAAGTAGTACGTTCATGGTATCTCATGAAATACTGACAGAATTGTAGGGACAAGCATTGTCATGATGAAAAATGGCACCTGGTGCATGCAGAGCGAGGACGCCATGAGGACAAACGATCTTAATAACACAATAACGCAATAATGCACCTTTTCAGTTGCCCATAAGAGACTGTTTCCCACATCACTACACTTCCTTCCCCGAATCTGCTCACCTCTTGCAAGCAACATTGCCAATAAAGCTGATTCCGTCTATCACAAAAACATTCGGATCCTCCCATCTTTCAGAGAAGGAAAGGGGGCATGGGTGTCCCAGTTGTCTAAGGTGCCGCGATTCGCTGTGCTGACAAATCTAGAAACATAATCAGGGCGAACTGGGATTCGAATCCACAATCATAGGTTTCTTGCGTGTCCAAGGGATGCAACACTTTACAGCGAATCGCGGCGCCTTAGACGACTGGGCCACCCGTGCCCCCATTCATAGATAGATAGAATAACCATCCACCGCAAATCAAGAGAGAAATTATCACCACCTTAGCCCGACGTGCCGTCAACATCTGTTCCACGCCACATCAGCTACAAACTGAACTCAACCACCTCCGCCATGTCTTTACTAACTTCAACAATTATCCTACCAGCCTAGTTGAACAAACAATCAACAACATCCTCAGCCCCAGAGAGCGGCCTCCACGACAACAGGCAGCCCCGTTTGCCATCAGTCTTCCCTACATAGGAACAGCCAACCACCAGATCCGCAGACTGCTCAAACACCACGCCAACATTGATACAGTATTCCAGAGAGGCAGGACAATCCAGAACATCCTCAGTGCCAATGGCAAGCCCTCTACATAAAAGAAAGAAGACCCAGCTGGTGCCGTATATCACATACAATGTGACTGTGGCGACTCCTATGTAGGAGAAACATCCAGGCCCCTACCCATTAGAATAAAAGAACACAAGACCTCAGTACTCAAAATCAGCCATCGCCAACCACACCCAAACCCACCACAACATCAAGTGGAACAACATCAAGATCCTGGCCAACACTCAATCAGACTACAAAATCAGGAAACTCCTAGAAGCCATCTACATCAAAAGGATCCAGCCAGCAATGAACAGAGACCAAGGCTATTACATCCCGCCTGCTTACCATCACCTAATTGCTAAATCCCTATGTCCATCCAATTAATCCACTGGCTTCCATCATCTCAATCAGTCTGCTTGTTGACTCTGTGTTCATTTGTCATCCATTTGCTTCCTATTATTTTAATCAGCTCTCTGTCCACCAATCAATTTACTGTATAAACTTTGATGTCAAAAAGTATATATACCTATGTTGTTTAGCACTATTCATCACTTGCTTGATAAAGGTGTTAGGATCTACACCGAAACGTCGCACTAATTGTAATAAAGAAGTTGTTCATCCATAGAACTCGTCTTACTTCATCACACCAACTTCTAAATGCCACTGAAAGAAGTGTGAAAAGTTTGTAACTCTCCATAAAAATGAAGTGTGGTACAATGAGGATGTCCGTATAGTAAAACAACATCGTCGGCGAATGGAGAGAAAAATGCGCTCGAATAAGCTGACTGTTTCCAGACAGATGCATCCTGCTGCACGTAAGGCTGTTACGCTGCTCATTCAACAGACTAAAAGGTCATATTTCAATTCTCTGATCGATAATGCTAAAACAAAAAGGACATCTTCAGGATAACAAATCGACTTTTGTACAAAGCCAAACCACATGTGTTACCAGATGATGACACAACTGATGAAGAAAAACCTGAAATCGTCTCAAGATTCTTCTCAGAAAAGATTTGACTTATCAGAAAGAACATTACAGACCTTCCTTCAAAACCTGTACAACCCAATCCAAAGATACGTAATATCCAATGTCCACAGATCAATTAAATCATTTTCATCCGACAACAGAGACAGAGATCAAACGAGTCATCGGTGAGTGCCTTGACAAGTTCACTCCTGCCATTACTCGCATTGTGAATAAATCACTCGAGGAATCCTGCGTTCCAGATGATCTAAAGTATGCTCAGTTGGATGCAAATGAACTGAAAAATTACCGTCCAGTCTCCAACCTCTCATTTATATCCAAAGTGAATGAACGCATTGTTGTGAAGAGACTGACGCATCACGTTGCTAAAACGGGAATGGCAGAATGTTTACAATCTGTATACAAGTCCGGTCACAGTGTAGAGACAGCATTAATCAGAGTACATGGTGATCTTCTTCGAGATGTTGATTCTGATGGCGGTGCTATCTTAGTACTACTCGACCTTTCGGCAACGTTCAATACTGTAGATCACGGTATTCTGCTCAGAACATTAAAACACCGGTTTAATGTGACTGAGGACGCCCTTTCATGGGTGACATCATACCTCTCATCTTGCTTTCAATCAGTGCAGATTAAGGATAAACTGTCCGATAAATTGAAGCTTGCATATGGCATCCCTCAAGGTTCAGTGTTAGGACCAGTGCTATTCACCATCTATGCATCTCCACTTCGTGATATTGCCCGACATCATGGAATACTTTTTCATCTGTATGCAGATGACGCACAACTCTATCTGTCCTTTAAACCGAATCAACTTCACTCAGTGCAAAAATCCTTTCAAAGGTTGCCGACCTGTATAGATGACGTGAAGAACTGGATGCTGACAAATTTTCTCAAATTAAACTGTGACAAAACTGAAGTTCTCTTTATGTGCAACAACGCCATCAGAAACCGAGTGAGCTATCCTTGTCTCGACATCGGAGGCAATATGAACGTTCCAGGCAAAGAAGTTCGTAACCTGGGTGTGATTTTCAACTCATCACTATCTATGGCTTCTCACATGGATAACATCTGCAAGCGAGCATATCTGAACATCAGGAATATTGCACAGATTCGCCAGTTTATAAATGCAAAAACAGCTGCTTCTCTAGTTCACGCATGTGTTCTATCACATCTAGATTTCTGTAATGGACTACTTATCGGCCTTCCTCATAACCTTTTGACTAAACTTCAAAGAGTTCAAAACTGTGCTGCCAGGCTTGTTACTAAACCAAAAAGTTTGACCATATCACACCGATTCTACGGAACCTCCACTGGCTCAAAATCAATGAGAGAATCCAGTATAAAGTGAAGCTGATCGTGTTCAATGGAAGACACAATAAAAAAACAACTTATATCAGCGAGCTTCTTGAAGAGTACGTGCCTGGGAGATCTCTCAGATCAAGCTGCCAGTCCCTACTCTCTGTGTCTAGTGTTAGAACGGCGACTTTTGGAGGTCGGAGTTTCGCCAATGTTGCCCCTGAGCTATGGAATAGGCTGCCATTGGATATCAGGAACATTGACAGTCCTTCTTTGTTCCGAGCAAGACTCAAAACCTCTTTTTTCACCAAATCTTTCTTGGAGTACTGAGGCTTTGTGTTTTCCTAGCTGTGTAATGTCGCTCTTTTGTGTAGACTCAAATGAAGCGCTTTTGAGAAGTTCTTCGAACTGGATACCAGCGCTATATAAATCTGTCGTTATTATTATTATTATTGAGCAAAGCTGATAATTGGTTCCGGCTATTTCATGAGCTGTGTTTATGAATCACCTACTGATGGTACCAGGCGCTCACGAAGCTGTAAACGTATCCTGCCCAACAGGTGCGATCCGTCACAAACACATGCAAAGGAACATATAATACATATTGCCTGAAAAGTGACACTAAATTTTAGATGGATTGATTGAAATAAATTAGACTCCTTATTTTAATCTCCTCAATTTAAATTGGATCAAAATGCAGTTCACATATTATTGACCAAGAGTATTTTGCTTTACTTGAAGAACCCAAAGATGCTAAGTCCCCTATACCTACCTTGAATTCACTGCGCACAATTCCATATGTTGTAATTACGACATCCTTGCATTTAATAAAACTGGAATCCTTACAACGTTTCGAGCCATGGTACACGTGAACGTCAATGTGGATGTTAGGATGGACATGCTCTTCAAACTGATCCTTTGAAATACAGAGCAATAATAAATTTGCACCAAGTTATCATTCAAATGGAACAAGAGACACAAAATATGTTTGACATGACCTTCATTTGATCAAGACATCCATTTATGATGATTTAAAGGAAGTATGTGGGTACGGTTGGTGAGGTGGTAAGTGAATGCACAATTTACTCACTGCTGTTGTAGTTTCATTCTTTGTAGTGAATTTTATTTCAGAGAGTATTTATACTCATTTCACGGTCATCTCAAAAGTATTGAATGTAAAAACAAGAAGAAGTAAGACATACTGACTGTCCCTCCTATCATGTGTGGTAGATAGTAGTTCTGTATATATTAATCATGTTTTATTAATTAGCGTTTAATGGTATTTTGTATGTTTCAGATATTGCAGTAATCAAGAATTATTTATTGTATTTCTCATTTCAGGCTGCATACTTAAGTAGTTGTAAGTCAAGTATTATCATTAAAGCCCTATTCTAATGTCATGTTTGACTTAGTGGGTCAGTCAACTGCTTGGTGGTCAATCAGAGTGTAAGCCCAGGCGTCCTCTGGATTGGCTAGTTTTAAATCTCTGTGTCCCCCTTTCAAACCCCTTTGTTTTCACCCTGCACTTGGCATTAATACTTCACTGTGCACTGCACTGGAAGAAAGGATATACTTATATAAAGGTTAGTAGTTAAAGTTATAATTGTATTTTATGCCAGTATAATTATGCAAATCACTTAAGTTTAATAAATGTCTTTTTAGATCCTTAATTATATTTAAACATGTCACATTTACTAGTATTAGTGTGTGCATGGTGAGTATATGTATACTAGATATATTTCATTTCACTATATGTGGGTCTGTGTTAATCTAGGACATTTGTGTATTCAGCAACTTGCATTGTGTATTAATAATTTGATAATAGTTGACATGTAATGTTCATGTGTGTAGATAAAAATACCTTCATGATGTATTTTATATCATGAACAGGTTTTCACGAGGGATTTGATCTATTTACAAGGGATTGTGACCACCCAAATACACCCAAGTGGGATTCACCGGGTATATATATATATATGTATACTTATATATTGCTTGCATTGTAACATAATATTATATTTATTGTACCATATTTATATTAAATGTGTAAATCCATTAAACTTACATATCTAAGCTTATAATTGTGAAATGTTATAAATGATATATCATGTATAGCTTATAAGTGTAGTAGATTATTAATTAATCTGCTTCGGTTTTGATGTTTATTATTGTATTCATTGTTCCAGGGTGTCGGGTTAATCACGGCAGAAAATAAATTAATCAGACCTAACACCCAAGCCTGTGTCATTATGTTATTTGGGATAATACATATGCACATATAATGGCTACAACACATGTTGTATTAATCGAGCACAAAAGTTAGCTTACTACTCTCAAAGGCAAAAGTAATTGTGACATTTATGAAAAACAGAGAATCCGTTAAAAACATTTACTGATATGGGTGGTATTGTATCTCCTGGAAAGAGCCATGTCTGAAGGTTACGAGCAACAGTCTATGTGAAGAGTGATTCTGCCACATGAAATTGAGTCATGAAACACAAGGTGGTTGAGAGGCAAAATCACACAGTCATCAGAGAATTTGTCCACATTTTGTGTTGATGTGGACCTGGTATAGTTATTCCCATTGATTTTGTTTCCGATTGTTTGTTGTTTAACACCACACGCAGTAATAGTCCAGATATATGGCAGTCTGGAAACAAGAACAAGTGGACGAGAAAATCCACTGATTGACCATGAGCATCGATCCACTCAATTCAGATAAGATGACATGCATCAACCAAGTCAGCGAGTCTGACCACCCGCCTCTTACGACAAGCATAGTCACTTTAAACGGGAAGCATGGGTTCCTATTCTGCCCAAGATCTTCACGGGTCCAGTAAACCATGAAGAAAGGCTTGAGGAAAGGAATTCCATATCTGAGGAAGGATAAGCATGAGTTCCTGCAGCTTTGTTGGGGGATTTGGAAGACGTTGCAAACGTCTTTTCATTTCACCTTTCATCGTTTGTAACAGCTGACGTTATCATGCAATAGTGTTACTCAAGATCTGTCTTGTTGAAAAAACGGTAAAACGACCGTTTGCTTAATCTCTCACCAGTATCACAAACCATTCTCTCGGAATCATTTGTGTCCTTCCTGTAGCCTTTATTCCAAACCCAGATCATAGAAGCCACCACCACCTCCAAAGACTTTTGCCTCCACACCGCAGACACGGATCCTGCCATCGGGTCAGTTGAGACCCTTCCGTAAGTGTAGTCTGCTCTCAGGATCTGCCGTTTTGGCGCCTCGCACAGATATCATGGATGCGTAGACGTCGTCAGACAGTCCTCACAGATACGCGTCTGTTTCATGGGATGGTGTGGTCTGTGAGAGTTGATATCTTGAATCTGTGTTGGAGATGCATGGTTTCAAACCATATTTCTTGGAAAGGGGTTGTCATCGGTGGGCGGTCAGTGACTACAGTGACGATCTCTGACATGGTTATTTTGTTGATAATGTAACCATAAATGGTATATGGTGTTCCTGAGGACGATGAATTGACGTGTACATTCATGCTGTGAGGTACCAGATTTGAGCCTTCCGCTAGCTCGTTATCTGTGTTTTTCTCCCAGGTGCAGCATCTTAAAATCTCATCAAAAAGATTAAATGTGGATTTTTTTCCTGAACTGAACCGAAGATTGCTTTGAGTGGAATTGATAAGGGGTCGGATATCGGCCTTTTCAAAGAAAACATTTGAAGCAAATTCTTTCGAATATATGTAACATAAGCAACATTTGGTTGGTTTCTTGAGTTTTTGCATAAACATTTACACCGATTCAAATACGAAAAGCCTTTGCCTTCGAGAATACATGTGGCTATAGCAAATCTCAAATACAGTCTCTATACTGTTTGAGCTTGTGATTTCTTTCAATATAAACATCAAATTGTTTCAATTCAGCTTCTGAAACATAGTTTCCTGAGGGCATGATACATGTTAGTATGGATGGAAGCATACATATCAAGACTGATTTGTGATTCACCTGCCAGGTTCTGAGGACACACAGAGGACAGATAATCAGTGTGCCACGTGGGTCGCCTTTTTCACAGAGAGTTCGCCCTTTTTCATCACAATGATTAGCTGTCATAAAATCTGAAAAGACAAATCAATGAATTATCTCTGATGACCACTGAGAAACATGATAAATCTAATATTGCCTTCCAGTTTAAATGTGCACAACTTAATAACGTGATATATAGAAATTTTATATGTTTACTTTGACAGAATCTTCAGACACTCACCGGCACCAGATCCTTCATCACACAACTCCTCGTCCTCCAGATCAGGCAGTTCATCGTAAAAATGATATTTCTCTCCACACATGTCGCTTTGGATCTTACGTGATGCATCCACACCCTCATCCTCCATTCTACCAACATTGCCACTGAATCTCGACTGTTTGTCAACATCTGATGAAACGCCAACATTTATTACGTCAGTGTGAATGGACGACTGTGCATTGCACACAGCAGAAAATCCTGATTCTGAATGGAGACTGTCAAGTTGCAGTTTTCTTTGTTTCGATAGTTCCTTCTCATTAACTAAATCCGTTTCAGTAACTGAAAGATAATCAATATCAGTATTACATGTGACGTAATCAATTGTTAAGATAATGACATTAAGATACTGTATAAATATCACATGAGTAAAACCACTGAATGACTCTTAAAGTAAATATGGGAAAATGACACATTGTACAGAGAGTTTATACTATACAATGCAAATATACCTAAGCATTTCCTCTTTCCATTCGTTGGCTCTACTAATTCTGTAATGGTTGCCTTTCTCTGCATGGTGCTGGAATGTAAATTCGCAATGAAATACAAAGGTCTAACAAGCATGCCATATGGTAATGGTAACCGTGTCCAAGTGGTCATGTATGTTTAAAATGCAAGACACAGTCCATAAACACTGAGACTACACCGAAGGTAAAAGTATTGTAGCAAGGAATAACAATTGCTTTCCAGACAGACAAAGTTATTTCAGGAGCCCCGTCAGAATGGATATACTTGTGTTTGTGTCTATTAGTAGCCTAAATTGCGTCTAAACATGCCACCATAGCCCACCTAGACAGGGGACACGGGCGGCCCTGTGGCCGAGGGTGCTCAAACTAACAGTGATCGGGTCCAGGGCCCACTTGCACAAAGCGATCTCAGTGCTAAGATGATCGTAACTCTCATACCTTAACATAGGCTTACGGTAGTCTTAGCGCTAAGATCGCTTTGCGCAAGTGGGCCCAGGTTCTGATCATCAAGGATTCGAATTTCAAATTCACATCAGATTACGTCCCTTGGTAAGCACAATACCTGAGAGTTTTTTCAAATGATTCAAAACATCTATGATCTGATCCTCAAACTTGTTTTGAGCTTTCTGTTTAAATCAGAGTAGAATCGAACTCACTCACTCACCTATTGATAGTTCTGTTGGCGGGCGTGCTCCCCACGTCACTCATGTCATCAAGCCTTGTTGTCACCGTCCCTGCTTCAATGACAATATATTCATCATTTCTACAATACACACAGGTAAACACAATTCATCATACATTTCAACAAACATGAACATCTCACTGATTTTGAATGTTCCATGTTAAATGGATTTCATGATTTATCTTACTGGTCTCAATATTGGAACTGTCAGGCTTCCCAAAACGTAGCTTTGTAGGACACGCTGTCTTCTTTGTTGGCTGCTCCTCATCCATCTGGTCAATGAACTCATGATATGACTGCAACCTCTGGAACATGTCATCATTGTTGTTTGCGACCGCAACCCTGGTTTCACTCTTAGATCTGGATTCTGATGGTTCCATTCTAGAGTAACTTTCTGAAACAGCCTATAATAGGGGCGTTGCCGAAGTACATGTTGATTATCTGAATGACATTGCTCTGTTGTTGTCGCCTTTTAACTCGAATCTGAGAGATGATAAAACGTAAATCAATCGAAACGATAAGTGAACCCTCTTGAAATAATAGGGTTCGACTCATTGTATCAGTAAGATATATATTTAACATATGTCACATTCAGCAAGGTACAGAAAGTTTTAAAGAATCAAAAAACAAAGTAATATAACACAGATCTTGCTCCTGCTCGATCTAATTTACACACAAGATATAATCTAAGTAACCTGTGTGGTGCTATGTAAACAAACATTGTTTTTGTGATTTGAGCAAAATATAATGCAGTGATCAAGTAAAGAATACATCTGTTTTACATAGACATCACACAGGAAGTATGACAAGAAGATTACTTTTAAAGACTGATGTTTTGCTTGTCAGGATATTATAGTGCAAGCAGTAAACACAATATACACCTTTAACTATGACAATGCTATATTTGTCATTGAACTGTGAAGAGGGTGTTAATCAATTACATATTTTATGCAAGGGACACCTGTGTAGTTAATTATTTGAATGAAATGTTAAACTAGAACCAATCAAACCTTTTCTCTTCTGACTCGAGGTACTCCAGGCACAGGAAGAGCCAGTGGCCGATTGTCCACAAAGTTAGTGAGTATCAGAGAAATGATCTCCAGTGTCTTTCCCAGTCCCATGTCATCGGCCAGAATACCTGGTGCAAAGAAAGTTAGTGAGACCAGAGAAATGATCCCCAGTGTTTTTTCCAAGCCCCATATCATTGGCCAGAATACCTGGTGCAAACAAAGTTAGTGAGTACCAGAGAAATTATCTCCAGTGTCTTTCCCAGCCCCATATAATCGGCCAGAATACCTGGTGCAAACAAAGTTTGGCAGCATCAAAGAGTAGTATCTTTCTCAGCATGAGTAGATTTCATAATTTAATTAATAGTTCAGAGTGTGAGTACACAAAATATAGATGTATGTAGTGTTCCAGCTAACTCATAGGGTCAGTCAGTATTATGCCTATAACATTGTATTATTTGTATCAAACAGCTGAGTCAGCAGTCTTACCTCCTCTGATACTAGGTGGTCTTTCGTATGTTGTGTGATTAAGAAGTATGTTGGAGTAATGGCCACTGGGTGTTTCCTCCCAGAATGGTGGCAGGTTTTCCTCGTTTTCCCGGGTCATCATCCAGTGAAGGGCTTGCTTCTGGTGGGGATACAGGGGCGTCCTCACAGCCTGATGGGGTAGTGAGTAGTGGGGTAGGCGTGACTACATACCAATCAGTCATTCTTTACATACATATAACATTCACCTTTATATATGCTATTGTAAGACTCTGTATCTGGTTATTTTGTAAAACATCAAGATAACCACTCTAACTGTAACATATAAACCTGAGGGTGACAATCAGTGACTGATGCAGTGTTTGGCGAAAGAGACGTCACAAAGAGACAATGGCCCAGTCACCACTGTGCAGGTAGCCTCACCAGAAACAGCACGTGGTGTTAATGGTCATGAATGGACTGATGCATCATTCTTCAATCGGCATGTGAAAATTGATTGCTGACAATCGGAACACTGATCTACATGTTCACACAACCTGCACACACCATAACCTACCTCCACTGGTTCTCGTTCTGTTGTCTTGTCCCCTTCGTTAAGTGTTTCAAACAGCTGGTCTATAGCACTGATAATCTTGAGGGACAAATAAAAAGGTTAGACTATAAACATTGTACTGAGTGCTGATGTTTGTAAGCTGGAAATGTCAATAAAAGCGACAAAAAAGGTTTCCATAATTATGCGAAATTTGAGATTGTACTTCCGACTATATCATGAGCATGTGTTTATGAATCACTTTACCATAGCGATGATACTAGGCGTTCGTGAAAAAGTGAGCGAACAGTGCCAACCGCACACGTCACAAACACATGCAAATGCAAGTCATTTGTTCTTGCACAAGTCAATTTAGGGAATTGCTTCGGACATCATGTCACATATGGTCACTAATGCGTCATATGATGCTTGAGGGTATATTTTGAAATGTCCTTCACATGTCTACCTTTGACAAGAAGATATGTTATTTAATCCCAAATTACCTCATCCTGTGTTAACTTCTGCCGATGGCTATCAACTTGTATGTATGGGTCATAATGCAGACTAGCGAGGGGTGACGCTGCATGGCCTGCTGCAGGGTGTGGAATAGCATTCCCTGTACCCACGTTACTGGGGACTTGTGTGGTCACACCTGTAGGTACATGTTGTTCCTGGGCGACGCTGTTGCCGGCGTTGTCTTTGGTTACTGTACGAAAAGCTGCCTCAGCTGCTTTTAAGATTGTTTTGCACCTGTCTCTGTTGTCAATAGCCCCGTATAATGTAAGCTGGATAGGCACCGTTTTACTGTTCTCATTAAGGTCGAGTGTTACACTGAAGAAGAGCAAACTATTGTCACAACCAAATTCTTATCACACAATTTAAAAGAAACGCCTTGTAGACGATTATATAAGAAGGAAAGTAAATATATACTCACACGCAAAAGAAACGCAGGTCGAGTATGCAGTATACATGTTATTTATTTTCAACAGTAAAGACAAGAAATACTAATAGGGCAAGATTGACAAAAAATTGACTGAAGACAGTTTAATGGATTAAAAGGCAGATGACATAATAGTGTTTTTTTTCAAATGTTAAGGGCTTACACAGTTTCGGGTCAATACCCAAAGTGTCAGTCAATACCTGGTGTGACCACCATGAGCATTGATCACTGCCACACATCTCCTGTACATTGAGTGGATCAGACGATTTGTGAAGGCCCTAGAGCACACATCCAGAGCAGCTGTGCGTAGTTCATCGGCAGTTGTAGGGACTGGGCGCACATTGTGCTGACGCCTTTGAACCTCATCCCACAAGTGTTCGATAGGGTTCAGATCAAGGCTGAGGGCTAGCCACGGTAGAACACGGATGTTGTGTTGTTGCAGAAAGGTCATGGTAGCTCTGGCAACATGGGGACAAGCGTTCTCCTGCTGGAAAATGTGTTGTTGGTGTTGTGCAAAAAATGGAACAACGTGGGGTCTGATCACTTGGTCGATTTGCCGCTGAGCAGTGACGCCGCGTCCCCGACCTTGACCAACATTCAGAAAGCACATGGGTCCAAGTCCAATCCCTGCCCATATCATGACGCCAGGTCCACCCCAAGGAACCCTTTCTGTCAGCGAAACGATCACCTCGACGCCGCCAAATTCTGACTCTTCCGTCTGCATGGGAGACTAAAAAGCGACTTTCGTCAGAGAAGATGACACGCCTCCACTCACGATGATGCCAATTGTGATGACCCTGTGCCCACTGAAGACGTGCTTGTCGATGCCGTGGTTGGAGAACAGGACGAAGTGCTGGTCGGCGACATCTGAGGTTGTTGGAACGGAGACGTCGGATCACAGTGTCCCGGCTAATGTGTCGATTATGTGTTCCTATTGTCTGTCGAGCACTTTCACTTACAATTAGAAACGGATGTCGCTGGTGTTGACGGGTAATCTGCCGATCTTGTTGAGGTGTGGTGACCCTAGGACGACCGCTCCGAGGAAGATCATCTGCGGTCTGTGTAGCATTGTATCGCTGCAGGAAACGGTAAATTGTGGTGATGTTAACGTTGAAATGACAGGCAACATCTTGGACAGACTCTCCAGCTTCCAAACGTCCGATAGCCCGGTTTCTCTGAATTTGAGTTAGGCTTGGCATTGTTGACCAAGCAGTGGTAGGTAAAAATCGGCCACAGTTTTATACCCACTACAGTTCGTGACAGTTCGTACATTTTCGATTTCGCGAGGAATGGGTGCATGATACCCATGTATTCATTGAAATTGTGCGTTTTGTCGATTCGTTTTTTATGTTGCGTTTTTACTCGGGGCTTCTAAAATGCAACCAAAAATATTGATAACATCATCAGGCTTCACTACATGCTAAAACTAGCTAAATTTATTGTTCCGTGTTTGTTACCTATTTCCTTAAAACCACTTGCGTTTCTTTTGCGTGTGAGTATAAATTGTCAATGCAAGAGAATAACCAACCTAGATTTTCTGCCGAAACAGATTCAGCTTGCCACAAAGGGCAAATAGCTGTGGAAATTATCTGAATGGACCTCTGAACATCAGTGATGACATCAGGTGTAAGTAATGAAATATGAAAGTGTGTGCAAAGTGATGTTGTCTGGTCAAAATTTCAAGAAATGTCGAGCAACGACAGCCATAACGTCAATATGAAGGTACCCATCATGAAGATCCGGGGTAGAACAGGTTTTCAGCAACCCATACTTGCGTTGGTCGATGTTCATAATGTCAATCACTGAACTGTCTGGTCCACACTCCATTATTTACAGACTGCTGATTACTGCTGAATACAGCGTTGAACAGCAAACAAATAGGCAAACATTACTCATTAACAAAGACGCTATAAGCTTTCATGATCCATCTTACGCATCAACTCTTGCTACGCCATCAGCCATGATGGATACCATTGGAATATCATAAGGTTGACTGAGGGTTCCGAGTTGGGCGCTGCTGCCGTTGAAGATGGTAACTCTTTCTCCTCTACCCATGATCTTCCCCTCAAACACAAGTGATACCGACTCGTGGCTGTTGATCTGAAGATGGAGAACATCTAAAGAAACTACTTATCTCATTATGAAAAGGAAACTGTTTCTACTAAGGCAAATTGGCTTTGTGCTGGTTTCTGCTGGCACCAGGGCATGTTACAGTGCATTTTGAAGTTCTGAAGACCGTACAATGGTTCTGTATCCTGCATAACTTGATGTCTTTGTGGTTTTGCAGATTCAATGGGCTGACGAAATCGTAAATTGCTTGTTACTTTCATCAGGGCACTGTGATGACACTACAACGCTGGCAGTGTTTACACCAGGCCACCTTGATGCCTTTACAAAGCTGGCAGTGTTACCTACCTCAGGGCACTTTGATGACTTTACAAAGCTGACAGTGTTACCTACCTCAGGGAATCTTGATGACTTTACAAAGGTGACAGTGTTACCTACCTCAGGGCACCCTGATGACTTTACAAAGCTGACAGTGTTACCAACCTCAGGGCACCTTGATGACTTTACAAAGCTGACAGTGTTACCTACCTCAGGGCACCTTAATGACTTTACAAAGCTGACAGTGTTACCTACCTCGGGGCACCTTGATGACTTTACAAAGCTGACAGTGTTACCTACCTCAGGGCACCTTGATGACTTTACAAAGCTGGCAGTGTTACCTACCTCAGGGCACCTTGATGACTTTACAAAGCTGACAGTGTTACCAACCTCAGAGAATCTTGATGACTTTACAAAGGTGACAGTGTAACCTACCTCAGGGAATCTTAATGACTTTACAAAGCTGACAGTGTTACCTACCTCAGGGCACCTTGATGACTTTACAAAGCTGACAGTGTTACCTACCTCAGGGCACCTTGATGACTTTACAAAGCTGACAGTGTTACCTACCTCAGGGAATCTTGATGACTTTACAAAGCTGACAGTGTTACCTACCTTAGGGAATCTTAATGACTTTACAAAGCTGACAGTGTTACCTACCTCAGGGAATCGTGATGACTTTACAAAGCTGACAGTGTTACCTACCTCAGGGAATCTTGATGACTTTACAAAGCTGACAGTGTTACCTACCTCAGGGAATCTTAATGACTTTACAAAGCTGACAGTGTTACCTACCTCAGGGCACCTTGATGACTTTACAAAGCTGACAGTGTTACCTACCTCAGGGCACCTTGATGACTTTACAAAGCTGACAGTGTGACCTACCTCAGGGAATCTTGATGACTTTACAAAGCTGACAGTGTTACCTACCTTAGGGAATCTTGATGACTTTACAAAGCTGACAGTGTTACCTACCTCAGGGAATCGTGATGACTTTACAAAGCTGACAGTGTTACCTACCTCAGGGAATCTTGATGACTTTACAAAGCTGACAGTGTTACCTACCTCAGAGAATCTTGATGACTTTACAAAGCTGACAGTGTTACCTACCTCGGGGAATCTTGATGACTTTACAAAGCTGACAGTGTTACCTACCTCAGGGAATCTTGATGACTTTACAAAGCTGACAGTGTTACCTACCTCAGGGCACCTTGATGACTTTACAAAGCTGACAGTGTTACCTACCTCAGGGAATCTTGATGACTTTACAAAGCTGACAGTGTCACCTACCTCAGGGAATCTTGATGACTTTACAAAGCTGACAGTGTAACCTACCTCAGGGAATCTTGATGACTTTACAAAGCTGACAGTGTTACTAACCTCGGGGCACATGGGTGACTTTACAAAGCTGACAGTGTTACCTACCTAAGGGCACCTTGATGCCTTTACAAAGCTGACAGTGTTACCTACCTCAGGGCACCTTGATGACTTTACAAAGCTGACAGTGTTACCTACCTCAGGGAATCTTGATGACTTTACAAAGCTGACAGTGTTACCTACCTCAGGGCACCTTGATGACTTTACAAAGCTGACAGTGTTACCTACCTCAGGGAATCTTGATGACTTTACAAAGCTGACAGTGTTACCTACCTCAGAGAATCTTGATGACTTTACAAAGCTGACAGTGTTACCTACCTCGGGGAATCTTGATGACTTTACAAAGCTGACAGTGTTACCTACCTCAGGGAATCTTGATGACTTTACAAAGCTGACAGTGTTACCTACCTCAGGGCACCTTGATGACTTTACAAAGCTGACAGTGTTACCTACCTCAGGGAATCTTGATGACTTTACAAAGCTGACAGTGTCACATACCTCAGGGAATCTTGATGACTTTACAAAGCTGACAGTGTAACCTACCTCAGGGAATCTTGATGACTTTACAAAGCTGACAGTGTTACTAACCTCGGGGCACATGGGTGACTTTACAAAGCTGACAGTGTTACCTACCTAAGGGCACCTTGATGACTTTACAAAGCTGACAGTGTTACCTACCTCAGGGCACCTTGATGACTTTACAAAGCTGACAGTGTTACCAACCTCAGGGAATCTTGATGACTTTACAAAGCTGACAGTGTTACCTACCTCAGGGCACCTTGATGACTTTACAAAGCTGACAGTGTTACCTACCTCAGGGAATCTTGATGACTTTACAAAGCTGACAGTGTTGTTCTCATCACCTTAATGACTTTACAAAGCTGACAGTGTTACTAACCTCGGGGCACATGGATGACTTTACAAAGCTGGCAGTGTTACTAACCTCGGGGCACCTTGATGACTTTACAAAGCTGGCATTGTTACTTACCCTTGGGCACATTGATGACTTTTCAAAGCTGGCAGTGCTACTTACCCTTGGGCACATGGATGACTTTACAAAGCTGACAGTGTTACTAACCTCGGGGCACATGGATGACTTTACAAAGCTGGCAGTGTTACTAACCTCGGGGCACATGGATGACTTTACAAAGCTGGCAGTGTTACTAACCTCGGGGCACATGGATGACTTTACAAAGCTGGCATTGTTACTTACCCTTGGGCACATTGATGACTTTTCAAAGCTGGCAGTGCTACTTACCCTTAGGCACATGGATGACTTTACAAAGCTGGCAGTGTTACTAACCTCGGGGCACATGGATGACTTTACAAAGCTGGCAGTGTTACTAACCTCGGGGCACATGGATGACTTTACAAAGCTGGCAGTGTTACTAACCTCGGGGCACATGGATGACTTTACAAAGCTGGCAGTGTTACTAACCTCGGGGCACATGGATGACTTTACAAAGCTGGCAGTGTTACTAACCTCGGGGCACATGGATGACTTTACAAAGCTGGCATTGTTACTTACCCTTCGGCACATTGATGACTTTTCAAAGCTGGCAGTGCTACTTACCCTTGGGCACATGGATGACTTTACAAAGCTAACAGTGTTACTAACCTCGGGGCACATGGATGACTTTACAAAGCTGGCAGTGTTACTAACCTCGGGGCACATGGATGACTTTACAAAGCTGGCAGTGTTACTTACCCTTGGGCACATTGATGACTTTTCAAAGCTGGCAGTGCTACTTACCCTTGGGCACATGGATGACTTTACAAAGCTGACAGTGCTACTTACCCTTGGGCACATTGATGACTTTTCAAAGCTGGCAGTGTTACTTACCCTTGGGCACATTGATGACTTTACAAAGCTGGCAGTGCTACTTACCCTTGGGCACATTGATGACTTTTCAAAGCTGGCAGTGATAGTATCGAACATGACTTCTGCATCGGACACATCCTGTAAGTCATCATCAGAAGGAGACGAGTCATCCCTCGCCTGCTCCCTCATCCAGGCAAGGTCAATCTGAGAGATGCCATGTGGCACCTGGTCGATATCCATGTCAAAGCCAGCTCGATCTGTTCTTTACCATCTGTGTTAAATAGAGATCACGGGGTTGTTCTCATTATACCCCCAAGGTTTCAAAAGTAGCATTATATATTCTGAAACAGAAGGAATAGAATTCCCTCAAGTACGATTATATGTCACGTACGTGGTAAGAAGGGGATACAACAGAGAATTGTCCCACTCGTGGAATACCCATGAAAAGTAGATCCAGTCAAAAACTGTGTAAACGTCAAAAGGTGAAGTTAATGCATTGTAAGCGTTATTTTTTTAATTTGTTGAAACATGTACGGGTCACGTGAGCAGGTAATAAACCAATCTCATCAACGCTTATCCTTTAAACTTCAAAATAAGAATTAAATAACACATCCCCTGTATTCACCAGATTTCTCACCCAGATTTCCACTTCTTCTGGCAAATTTTACTCAAATGATGACGTCGTCATTTCTGCAGTGGATTACCAAAGGAGGGGAGGTGGGACTTCGCTACCGATGAGATTTTGATATTATAAATATAGATCGTCAACGGCAGAGGAAAACCAAAATTGACCTGCCCTATCGATAGCACCCGGTTTGAAATAACACATGTCAGTGTCTGTTGCCTGGCGCAGAGCAGTACCCTCGCCATGCAACGGAGGAATGTAAACAAAGTAGCCAATCGTGCAGGCGTGTATCATTACTGAGTCTCGGTATAAATCTATCTATCTGCCTAATCTAATCTAACACAGGACTCCGGCGTGTGTGTGTATGTTAGTCTCTGTGTGTGTGTGTGTGTGTATATATATATATCCCGAAGAAGTTGCATAGCAAATTGTTTAGCTGACTTTAACTGAAATAATTATTCTCCCCTAAACATTGCAACAAGAGACCATTGATATCTTCAAGACTTCAAGACTCTTTTATTCTGTAGAAAAGGCCTCCAGCCCAGGGTACATGTGTATATAATCAAGTCACAACAATTTTAAATTACAAACAACAATTACAATCTTTAATAAAAGATCCGTTATAATCATCAAAAGTAAGTGAAGCACTCGTAAACTATATATAAATTTGTCTCCCTTTAACTTCTGAGATAAACCTGCCTTGCCTGCGTGCATTTAACAATATACAGTGCTAAAGATCCTGACAAAGAATTATCTGTCATAACTTTCTCAAATTTGTCAAGAGTACAAAGATTACTAGTGCAAATACTTGGCAAAAGCATATTTCTGAATTGGTTATACAAGTAACACGATGTAATAAAATGAACTACATCCTCCACAATTGATACACTCAGATTATCAAAACAATATTTACATACTCTATCCTCTCTAGCAACTCCTCCCCACCGCCCAATTTCAACAGCCAGTTTGTGGTTACCACATCTGAATCGACTAAGAACAATTCTTAAATTTGTCCTCTTCATATTGTGCAAATACCTTTCAGGCTCCAACACTGATTTCATAATAGAATAATTATAAAGCTTACTTGTTTCACTTATAGATAGTGCCCATGTTTGTTTCCAACAATCCTGCAACCTTTCCCTACAAATTCTAAGGAAATGGGTTATGTCACCAACACCCTGTTCAAACCAAACTAGACCAAATCCAAGTCTGTTCAACATATATTTTATTCTAGTTGCCCATGTGGCTCTACCAGCCCCATCTAACTGATATAGCATCAGACAGCAAGCCTTAGGATACCTATATGTGGACATGCTTAATATTTTCAGCCAAAACTTAATAGAATTGAACATGGTTGTTACATGTAATGGATACCGTCCTAGCTCCCCATTCAAGACTGCTGCTGGATTGTCTGAATTAACATGGAGAACTTTTCTAAGAAGTTTGCAGTGCACATTTTCTATAACTTGGACACTTTCAAATCCCCAAACACATGATGCATAACATACGACTGGAGAAACCATCCTATTAAATAGAAACAAGGACTCTTTAATGTTAAGCTTAGACTTTTTCAAGAATCCAAACAAAACATACAAAGCTTTTTCTCCCTGTTGTGCCAGGGTACTTCTTGCCAAACTCCATGAGAGCTTAGGAGTGAAAAACACACCAAGATACTTATAAGCGGATACTGCTTCCAGAGGAATACCATTGTAATACCACTTTTCCTTTTTTGTTACTATACCACCTCTTCGGAATACCATGACTTTCGTTTTCTGACTATGAACTGCGGACTCGTGTATCTTAAATTTAGACCATCCAAGATTATTGCACTTATATCGCGACGTGCATGTGTGTGTGTGTGTGTGTGTGTGTGTGTGTGTGTGTGTGTGTGTCTGTTTGTGTGTGTGTGTGTGTGTGTGTGTGTGTGTGTGTGTGTGTGTGTGTGTGTGTGTGTGTGTGTGTGTGTGTGTGTGTGTGTGTGTGTGTGTGTGTGTGTGTGTGTGTGTGTGTGTGTGTGTGTGCAATAGGTCCGAGCCGATCAGTCCTGCTGATCTCGTGTTAAGACTCGTGTATCTTAAATTTAGACCGTCCAAGATTATTGCACTTATATCGCGACGTGCATGTGTGTGTGTGTGTGTGTGTGTGTGTGTGTGTGTGTGTCTGTTTGTGTGTGTTTGTGTGTTTGTGTGTGTGTGTGTGTGTGTGTTCGTGTGTCTGTCTGTTTGTGTGTGTGTGTTTCTGTTTGTGTGTGTGTCTGTTTGTCTGTCTGACTGTTTGTGTGTGTGTGTGTTCGTGTGTGTGTTCGTGTGTGTGTTCGTGTGTGTGTGTGTGTGTGTGTGTGTGTGTGTGTGTGTGTGTGTGTGTGTGTGTGTGTGTGTGTGTGTGTGTGTGTGTGTGTGTGTGTGTGTGTGTGTGTGTGTGTGTGTGTGTGTGCAATAGGTCCGAGCCGATCAGTCCTTAGTGTCAGACAGGTCTAGCTTCAGTTTTAAAAGAACTTTGAGCAACCTGTGAGTGACCCTCTGTCCCAGGTTTTACAAACATCTGTGGGTAGCGAGTGCGAGTTCCTTATTGGTTCCTGAATAACTGTCTCATCATGGCACTCTCAGTAATACCATTACAGTTATTTCCCATGGTTTGTTTGCACATAATATAATTACAACTTCAGTGGATAACACGACACACATGGACTTACAAACTTACACACTTACAAACATAGTATTATTCCCATTGTATTGTCACAGTGCTAAAATTGCTATATTTATTCAACTTTTTGTGAAATTCGCCTTCAATTCATAAGTTGTCGGTTAACCATTTAAGACCTGTTGGTACATACTAGCGATAAGAAATTGCATAACAACATCTGGCACTTCAGATTTACGCCGCCACAATCAGGTCGGCGGGCGAGACTTTAATTACATGTTGAATAACAACCGGTAGTGGTCAGCGCGTTCGGCACTTACCAGTGTACCGTTATCAGCTATTTAGCGGCAACTGACCAAACTAGAAAATTGAAAACGCGAAACCAAACACGAACTGAGTGATTCTATCGGCATTTATAATCTTCTATTACTCAACTTTCCAAACTGACCGTCTGCTTTGACTATTAACAGACCAAACCCATCATACAAAATTGTATAACATGTCCAGTCTTTATTAGTCCAAAGTCTCAAATTTCAAACTGGACATGCACGTGTAGACTTGCCTTCAGATTAACAAAGGAGGTCTCAGGTATAAATATAGGGGGAAGTCGACTGTTAGTCAGTCCTGCTTTGCCTGAGAACCTCTCTCTGTTTGTCTTTGAAGGTAAGTCACTTTTACTTGTTACTTTGCCATTTAGGTTGAACTTTGCTTAAAATTGTCTTTTAAACTTGTCTTTAATTTTGTATGAATATCTTGCTTGAACAATGAACTTATACTCTATGTATTCGAAATGCCGTGCGAATCTAAGATGCATATTATTCAAGTTTTACTGACACAAATTAACTACAGTAATTTATATGCGTGCGTCGCATGTAGAAATATTACTATTCCACAATCAGCGTTCGTATCCCACATGTTTATTTATCGGGTTAAAACTACTAGGCAAATGATTATTAATCACAGGTGCCGTGGATGCTTCATAATTATCATGTTTCAATGTGAATAGCGTGCATTATAATAATGTATGAATTATTTGTCCATGTATCGGTAGGACCAGTATTAATATGTGTGTGGTGTTATTAACCTTATTGTATGCTGTATCGTTAGTAGAGTGGTTTTATAATGCAACAACGTTAAATGCATCAATATGCATTAACATGATCCAGTTACTCGATATAATTTACGTTATGTATATTTGTTTGCGTTCTTATGCCTGATAAATACGGTTCTAGAATATAACTTATATCCGATGTTCATGCATCAAATATATTTTTTATATACAAAACCAGATCAGTGCAAGTACAGCAAAGTATATTATTCTTATCTGTAGCCCAAAATATATTTCTTATTAGGTAACTACTTTGTGAGGGCATAGCACTAGACCACAATACTCCAACGTAACTTATGTTCTAGATAAATGCACGCAATTTAATCAATGCCTGATAAATTTATGTTTTCCAATTTATGCATATTACTTCCATTCGGTAAGATGAATGGACGCTGTATAGAATATCTCAGATACTATACTTCAAGTATAATTTGGACGCTACAGATAACGTAGTAGTTTTATGTTGTAGAATAGTTATAATGAAACAGGCTTTCCTATAGCAGTGTTTATATCCATTTCTAAATTACAGTTCACAAGCAATTTCTCTGTTTTGTCGAAATCTCCAATAAGGTTCATAAACATTCACAATAGAATATACGTTCACTAATAATCAGTTTTAATTCATATATATTTCAAGTTTCAAATACGGTATTCATTCATGTGTGATTTGTATAAGCTCGGCCTGCATAGCGCGGCATGCACAGGCGGCACCGCTCATTGTTATATAACGGCACACTCACCAGCGCTCGGCAGTGACGTCACGTACCGTATTTAACCATTTTGCGCATAGCTGTTACCTGAATTTAGTATAGTGTATTCAGTCATTGAATGCGGGTCCCATTATTATTTACCGTATTAAATCCTGTATTCACTATTATCTCTGAAGTGTACATCTGAATCAGCTATAGTTCATAACGTCACATGTACCGTATTTAACGTTAAATAGGTTATTAGACATGTCATTGTTCAAGAAAGGTGTTGTTATAATCTTTCATATGAATGCTTTTTGTAAACATTGTTCAGATGTTATTTATGAGTACCTTAAATATATAGACCAAACATTATGAGTAATTATCAATGAGTAATTTAATATGAATTGATTATAATGTCTGCATTATATCAAATGTTTACTGCTATGATATAAATGAATATCCAATGAGTTGAGCTTACACTTTACGCCTTGTTATTATTTTACAAATGGTATTTTTAATTATAAATGTGTTTCGTAATCTTATGCAATGTTATATTAGGCTGTAACTTGAATAGGTACTGAGACGTCTCTGAAGTTAATGCATTGTTCTCAAAGTGAAATCACATAGCAAGTAATTGTTTATTAACTCATGCCTAATATATAACAACGAATATCTTAACAGTTTTTGGATCACCGCTTAATTATTTGTCTGATTATGTCTTTGTGTTTGATGATGAAGGAGATTGTCTGACTATGTCTATATGCTTGATGGTGATGAAAACATTTAATAAAGATTCCTGCTTTGCCTGAGAACCTCTCTCTGTTTGTCTTTGAAGGTGTGTTGATCCCGTGGCTAATTCCCCGAAAGTCGTTCTAGGTTTTGATCAGTTTTAGTGTAAAAACTATCTCTGTTTCAGTACCATGAAACATGTAACCTGTCTATGCGTGACATATCTGTGCCCTGCTGAGTTGTAGGGGCGCGGGGGGGGGGGGGGGGGGGGGGGGGGGCTTTCAACTTCCATTTATATATCCCGAAGAAGGTTTGTCTTCTTCTTCTTCTTCTTTTCTTTTTTTTTTTTGGGGGGGGGGGGGGGGGGGATGTTACGATGTATCATCTTTTTACTGAACGTAGTAGAAAATGTAAATACAAGTACCTCAATGGAAATACCGGAAAGTATTTCTCTTCAACACTATTGAAACCATGTATGTCCTTAAATTTACGAAAGAATTTATAGATTAAATTCGTGTGAAGCGCTTGGCGCTAATCTAAACGACCTGTCCATGCATTCATTTCTATTTATCATTAATTGTACAGCATTTAACGACTTATTCAGTCACTAAAGTGGTTCAATAACAACACAGTGAGTGACTTCAAGAGGAAGCTAATAACTCTACGGTGAAACAAATATTGAGAGACAATAATATTTTTAATTTCTTTCGAAAATACATGTATATATCCTTTTCCCCGAACAGTAAGAGAAACAAAAGCCAATAGTCCCTTCACAAAATGTACAACTAACGTAAAAGAGCAGTCAGTCACGCTATGAACTGCGGACTCCGTGTATCTTAAATTTAGACCGTCCAAGATTATTGCACTTATATCGCGACGTGCATGTGTGTGTGTGTGTGTGTGTGTGTGTGTGTGTGTGTGTGTGTGTGTGTGTGTGTGTGTGTGTGTGTGTGTGTGTGTGTGTGGTTGGGGGAGGGGGGTGGGGGGTGGGGTGGGGGGGGCTTTCAACTTCCTTTTGTATATCCCGAATAAGATGCATAGCAAATTGTTTAGCTGACTTTAACTGAAATAATTATTCTCCCCTAAACATTGCAACAAGAGACCATTGATATATTTATCTGGGTCAAGATATCGGGTCGTAAACAGGTACCAGGTACAGGACGAAGCACAAACAAAAGGAGCGGAATACTCACCCAACTCTTCTGGTGCACTGATACTGCACTGATACGAATCTATGGTCACTTCACTCAGAAGGAGGGGTCACGGTCATCCCTTCACAGTGTCAACTCTTCAAGACTCACCTGTGGTGGGAACACATGAGCGTTGATCAGGCTCAAATAGACTTTCATTTCCGGGAAGGCCTTGACGTCTATGTTTAGAAATGACGTGGCAGATTAGTTAAAGAAGAAGTGATTAGACTAAAATTATGTAAGTAATCATAAGTTCTAATACTGACGAAGGCATATAAATACGTTACCCAATCAAAAGTATATTTTGGTCGGAGCATAATCGGATTAATGAAAGTGAAAATAGACACAATTTTTCGACTTTCTGTTTCTGTTTTCGGCGAAATTATCCCGTGTTCTGTACTGGTCACCGTTCTAGGTGAGTGTGATGTGTTGATTAATTTACGTGATTGTTGGATTGGCTGTACGCTAAGGTGGGGCGCTTTTATTTATTTTATTTTTTAAATTTATTCATTTTAATGTTTGGTTTGGGGGGTTTTTTTTGGGGGGAAAGGGGGTTGTTGGGGGTTGTTTTGGTTTTTTGTTGGGTTTGTCTTCTTCTTCTTTTCTTTTTTTTTTTTTTTTGGGGGAGGGGGGGATGTTACGATGTATCATCTTTTTACTGAACGTAGTAGAAAATGTCCATGCATTCATTTCTATTTATCATTAATTGTACAGCATTTAACGACTTATTCAGTCACTAAAGTGGTTCAATAACAACACAGTGAGTGACTTCAAGAGGAAGCTAATAACTCTACGGTGAAACAAATATTGAGAGACAATAATATTTTTAATTTCTTTCGAAAATACATGTATATATCCTTTTCCCCGAACAGTAAGAGAAACAAAAGCCAATAGTCCCTTCACAAAATGTACAACTAACGTAAAAGAGCAGTCAGTCACGCTATGAACTGCGGACTCCGTGTATCTTAAATTTAGACCGTCCAAGATTATTGCACTTATATCGCGACGTGTGTGTGTGTGTGTGTGTGTGTGTGTGTGTGTGTGTGTGTGTGTGTGTGTGTGTGTGTGTGTGTGTGTGTGTGTGTGTGTGTGTGTGTGTGTGTGTGTGTGTGTGTTTTAGCAATATTCCAGCAGTATTCCAGCAATATCACGGCGGGGGACACCAGAAATGAGCTTCACACATTGTACCCATGTCGGGAATCGAACCCGGTATAGTGTCCGAGACGAACAGTCCTTGGCGTCAGACAGGTCTAGCTTCAGTATAAAGGAATTAAAAGAACTTTGAGCAACCTGTGACTGACCCTCTGTCCAGGGTTTTATAAACATCTATGGGTAGCGAGTGCAAGTTCCTTATTGGTTCCTGAATACCTGTCTGAGATCGTGGCACTCTCAGTCACACCATTACAGTTATTTCCCAAGGTTTGATTCAGTGGATAAAACCCTTACAGACATTGTATTATTCCCAATGTATCATGAAACACGTAAGCTGACATTGCATGACATGTCTGTGCCCTGCTGAGTTGTAGCTGAAATAATAGTAAGCGTAGCGTCGACACATTGAAACAACATGGAAGCTGAGTTGTGTCATTCTAATGTTTTGTGAGTGTCCAATCAATACAATTACTGATACAGTTATCATTATCAGTACAAACAAATAGTGAAAGGTTTTCATTCTGAAAAAGACTGATTGATTGAATACAACAGACCATTATTAAGAATGGAAAGTATTTTATTTTCAAATTCCATACGTCTATACAGTAATTACACACACACACACACACACATATATATATATATATATATATATATATATATATATATATATATATATATATATATATATATATATATCCCTTTCCTAAAATCTGAGTGCGGCGTAAAACAACAAACCAAACCAAACCAAACCCACGAGCAGGGGTATGGTGCTGACAAATCTAGAAACATAATAGGGGCGAACCGGGATTCGAATCCAGAATCATAGATTTCTGGCGTGTCCAAGGGATGCACTCAGCAATATTCCAGCTATATGACGTCGGTCTCAGCAATATTCCAGCTATATGACGTCGGTCTCAGCAATATTCCAGCTATATGACGTCGGTCTGTAAATAATCGAGTCTGGACCAGACAATCATGTGATTGACATCATGAGCATCGATCCACGCCATTGGGATCGATAACATGGATCAGCTAAGTCAGCGAGCCTGACCACCCGATCCCGTTAGTCGTCTTTTACGGCAAGCATGAGAATCTATGAATTACAGACCGCCGTGATACAATTGAACTTTTGCTGAGTGTGGTTTAAACCACAAACAAAAACAGCAGTTTTATCATAATGTCAACACCTGCCACCCGGTGTTTCCGCGCGCATGTTACATATTAGGAATTCCTCATACACACGAGACACAAGCGGGCAAACACTTCCTTATCATATGACGTCATCCAATATTGCTGTTCTGTTTCTGTCTTAACCCCAACCCTTGTGCCCCAAACATGTATGGACATGTTCCTATGATATATATTTGCGTTTGTTATCAACTTTCTGTCAATAACTTGCACGAAATCTTGCATATTTATTCCTTTATCAAAACGGGATTTTTTTCGTTTTATGAGCAACGTTTCCTTCCGATAATTGTTTTTAAATCGACAAAAAAAAATGAAGATTGAGCTCATGAAGTACTTGGATATTAGGTCACCAAACAACTACCGTCTTCTTGCTGTGACCTGCCTGATACGTGCGTGTCATCGCGTCCGGGCGGCGTGGGTTGTTTAAATGGGCCAGGATCGATAACTTACAAGCTTTGTTGATATAATGTGAGTTCCGCTGACCACACTGACCCTTTCCCTGTATCCTTTAGTTTAACAAGAACAGAACAAAACCTTATTCGCTCAAGGCTCTGAACATAACATATGTGGATCTTACAGAGGCCAATTGTCTTATCACATAGCGAAATAACTGTTCTTTTATTTGTTTGTTGTTCAACGCCGCACACTATATTTCAGCTATATTACGGCGTAAACAATCGAGACAATACAATCCAGTGATTGACATCATGAGCATCGATCCACGCAATTGGGATACGATGGCATGCTTTAACCAAGTCAGCGAGCCTGACCACCCAATCCCGTTAGTCGTCTCTTATGCGAAGCATAGTCGCCTTTTACGGCAAGTTTGGGTTGGTGAAGACCTATTCTATCCCGAATCTTCAAGGGTCCAATAGTTGTTCTATTGAATGTACAAAGAATGTGGCGACTTAAATGAGAGTAGATATGGTTTTACATTGAAATAACATGGTTATTTTGAAACTGACGGTAGATTAATGTAATGAGGAGATAGGAACTTCTTTCATTGAAATACACACATTAAACGAACAATGGTATTTATATGCAGTATCATATCAAGGACATAAGGGGGCACGGGTGGCTGTGATTCGCTGTGCAGAGTTGCGTCCCTTGGGCACGCAAGAAACCTATGATTGTGGGTTCAAATCCCGGTTCGCCCTGATTATGTTTCTAGGTTTGTGAGCACCATACCCATGCTCGTGGGTTTCACCGACGTGGTAAACGTCTGAGACCTGCATCACTTCTGGCCTTCCTCCCACATTAAGCTGACACGCCGTGATATACCTGGAATACTGTTAAAAGAGGTGTTTAACCCAACTTATTCACTCACTCAAGGACATAATAAACATTTTACTGAGCTAATGTTATGTTTTGATCAGCTGCTTAAGTCAGGATTCGTGAATACTGTGTACGTGGGCCTTTATCAACAGTCGCGTTAGTTTTAGCGCCTTCACATCCACAAATGGACAGATCTGCAGCAGACATTTGAGGAAACAAACAATAACGAATGTACTGACCGAACGAGTGCCAAAGCGTCTGGGGGAGGACAGATCTCCACTGTAATAAGTGCTTGTCACAACGTAATGGAGACTGTGATGGACCAGCTTTCTAAAGCGCCGCAATTTTCTCTGCAGCGTTCTGCTTCTTAGACGCGCCATCCTAGGATTTGGGGTTCAAATCTCAGACTCGCTCTGAATATGATGTTTGGTTTGTCATCACCGTACCTGTCAAAGACCTGCATCACTTCGTGATTTACTGTTCAGGTCGGCTCTAAACCCAAGTCACTCACTCACTCACTGTATGGTACGGTGTTTGACCTGGCTGATTGTATGTAGTCGTACCATCACGACATCGGTCGTTACGCATGCTTTCAAACAGTTGTTGTTCTCTGTGATTGCTCGAATGAAAACCGTGGTACTATGGATTTCCGACAGCAGATAATGTGTTCAATCACCGTCGAGAGTAGGGCCCTTTGGTCTACTGTATTTGCCATGCTGATTAGTGACATTATACTCACTAAAATTGCCAGGCATATTCTGGCCTAAAGAACCAACAGGGTTTCCTCGGGGTGCAGGATGGTATGAACAATAAACAATAAATAATAAACACAAACTCTTGCATTACAATAGAATGTTATTATTGTACCTTAATAGGTTGTGACATGTGTGAAAGTTTCAAAAACGCCTTCAAACGTCGTGGGACTGGCAACTGATCCACTTTATGGAATAAATCATCTCCAAGATGACGCCTCATCGCAAAGACAGAACAATCTTTCAGAGATCTGGGATTCGACACAATTACCTTAAGACTCAAGTCCATGTCATCCAGTATCCGTGAAACCTCCTCGTGTGTCGGAAGATACCCAGCACCTAAAAGGAGATGAGCTATATCCGTATGTCCCAGAACCAACGATACAGCAAGCGGTGTCTTTGCGTCAACTTCCACCATTGTTAGACACGCATTCATGTCAACGACGAGGTAACTGGCTATGTCATACATGCCACAGATAGTAGCCAGGTGCAGCGGAGTGTTGCCGTATTTGTTTTGTTTGTCAACATCCACACCGACTGTGCACAGACACTTTACTATATCGAGGTGGCCGGAGAGTACCCCGAGATGCAGCATACAATTGCCCCGGGGAAACACCCCCTTGAGTTCAGACCCAGCGTCAATAAGCATTTTAACAATGTCGATGTTACCCAGAGATACTGCATAAGCAAGAGGTGTTAGGTCTTTCCGGCATCTTAACTTCAAGTCCACGCCACGAGATATGATGAACGAACAGATAGACGGTCTGTTGAATTCTACAGCAGTAAATATTGCTTGTTCGAGGGTCAGATCATCTTCCCTATCATACAGATAAGCAACCAGCTCCTCTGAACCGCTCACGATAGCCCAGAATAACGCCGAATCTTCCCCTCGGTCGTACAACTTCACGTTGTAGTCTTGTACAAGAGATTTAACCATATCCACATGGCCAGCACATATAGCAATGTGAACAGGTCTCTTGAGGCAGTTATCAACAACACAGCGTTCATTTGGATCGAAGCCCGACAATATCAGCGCCGTGACAACGTCCATGTTTCCAGAGGCCACAGCCATACCTACGGGGGACATATCGGGAGCTGGGTCCTTCTTGCCTTGGTGAATGTATGAATGGCGTCTCTCTCGGACACACTGAAGCATACGCTGGAGTCCATCGTGGTCGCCTTCCTTCAGGAGCTTCTTGATATTGTTGACACATCTCGCGCTGAACATTTCGGCCGCCATGTCACTGATATGACAAAGCTGGCTTGTATCCTTGACTAGGAGAGTTCAACACCATGTACATACAGTTATTTCATCATGAAGTATTCGACTTTCTCGTGACACTTGTCAGAAATACTTCCAGTCAGCAAGCAGGCGCCGTGTTGTTCGATGAGGAAGTCGTGATTAAAGGGACGTAACTCGTGCAGTGTAACTGAACTTGAGGTTATCTTTTCAAGGTGTCCAGTAGAAAATAAGTTCGAATCTGCAGAGAAAAAACACCGTGAAAAATCAGAGTTTGTTTGTATTTTAATGGGTTCATCATAACTATATATATAACAATATAACTAAATAGTTATATTGTTATATATATATATAACTATATAGTTATATATATATAGTTATATAATTATATATATAGTTATATATATAGTTATATATATATAGTTATTATATATAAGTTATGTCTATGCTTCATCTGCAGTAGTATCGGTACACCCTTAAAAGAGGCGTATTTGTGAACAGTAAGAATACGTAAACAGTTTCAACCTTATATGAGACATAAAATAACAAATATATTATTTGTTTAATAATTAAAGGAAATTATGCGTAAAGACAGTATAGAATACAGTGTCTCTTGGCATCATCCATTAGTTTATTCATATGTAATGGCGGGACAAATGAAATCCTCCAAAAACAACTGTTGGACCTAAGTTGCGAGGCCATGTCAACATTCTGCCGGACTGTTGGATGTAGGTTACCCATTGGTGTAAAGGGCCAGCGCCCCTTTTGGCAATACTTTGGCCTATTCATGGTATATTTGGTTGTAACTGTGTAACAGAGTACATACATGTCGTACTATATCAATTTGGACATGATATTAAATTTCCCTTTCCTAAAATCTGAAACGGTTTCTGAATCAACATCACATCTAACAACATTTCCTGTTACACACTTCTACGATTGGTTTGTTTGTTTGTTTGTTTGTTTGTTGTTTAACGCCACACTCAGCAATATCCCAGCTATATGACGGCGGTCTGTAATTAATCGAGTCTGGACCAGACATTCCAGGGATTGACATCATGAGCATCGATCTACGCAATTGGGATACGATGACATGCATCAAACAACTCAACGAGCCTGACCACCCGATCCCGTTAGTCGCCTCTTATGACAAGCATAGTCGCCTTTTACGGCACGCATGGGTTGCTGAAGACCTATTCTACCCCGGATCTTCCGTAATACACCGAGAAAGAATTCCTTAAAATATGATGTTTCTGTTGATCATCAGTTACTTTTTCCAACCAATTCCCAAAACGGCAGTTGCCACAGTAACTATACATGGCACAGAATGAAGATGTGTGTTTTGTTCCAGACAGAAGACCAAGGTGGCGAATGTCCTGAACAATATTAAACAGTAATTTGACAATGAAGTAACTCCTTTTTTGCTCCCGTCATATGTTTGAGGTAAGGAGTGAGTGAGTATGGTTTTACGCCGCTTTTAGCAATATTCCAGCAACATCACGGCGGGGGACACCAGAAATGGGCTTCAAACATTGTACCCATGTCGGGAATCGAACCCGGGTCTTCGGCGTGACGAGCCAACACTTTAGCCACTCGGATATCCGACCGCCCCTTAGGGTAAGGCATTATGTAGCGAGTGAGTGAGTGAGTGAGTGGTTGGGTGTAGATTTACGCCGCTTTTATTGATATCCCCGCAATATCACTACGGGGGGACACCGGAGATGGGCTTCACACATTGTACCCAGGTGGGGAATCGAACCCGGGGCTCCCGTGTGGCGAGTAACCAGTAGGCCACCCCACCGCCCCTTTAAATTTTAGAAGAGCAATTTCCGAGAATATAATTATTTATATACATAAATGTCTAGTGCCATGATATTATACTATCCCAAAGGTTTGGCTGAGTTCATAAGGCATCCTTCAATTCCCGTTAGGTTAAATGTACCCTATTATCTTGTCGCACTCTATTCCCGTTAGTTAGCATGTACCCGATAACCTCAACACTGCACTGACGTCACCAGGATGTGACACGGTGTATCTCATATCAACCAGGAAAAGCTTTTTTTAGCAAATCACTGATAACCCCTTGTCATTGAAGTTTACAACCAACACGGGTCAACAGAATCCAGAAATAAACTGATTTTCACATCCAACGCTATTTATTCATATGACACATATTTAACAACAATGCCCAATAACCCACACCTACACCCACACCCACACCCACACTCACACTCACACCCACACCTACACTCTCATCCACACCCAAACCCACACTCACACTCACACTCACATCCACACTCACAGACACACTCACACCCATACTCACACCCACACTCACACCCACACTCACACCCACACTCACACCCACACTCACACTCACACTCACACCCACACCCACACTCACAGACACACTCACACCCATACTCACACTCACACTCACACTCACATCCACACTCACAGACACACTCACACCCATACTCACACTCACACTCACACTCAC